AATATTCAAATACTATATGTTAGAAATTCTCTGGATGAATCCCAGCACTCCAGAGGTAGGTGAATCTCTGTGATTTCAGGGTCAGTGTGGTCTACCTCGTGAGTTCCAGGCCAGCCAGGGCTATATAATGAGATCCTGTCTTTAAGGAAAAGAAAGCGCTTTTGGCTCGCAGTGGCACCATAGCAATTGGCAAGAACAAACGTGAAGAAGGGAGCCAAGAAGAAAGTGGTTGACCCATTTTCTAAAAAGGATTGGTATGATACTAGTGACAAGGACTCAAGGAACCACAGTTGAGTCTGATGGCCTCAAGAGTCATATGTTCGAAGTGAGCCTTGCTGATCTACAGAATGACAAAGTTACATTTAGAAAATTCAAGCTCATTACTGAGGATGTTCAGGGTAAAAACTGCCTGACTAACTTCCATGGCATGGATCTTACCCATGTTCTGTGGTCAAAAAATGGCAGACCATAATTGAAGCTCTTCTTGATGTGAAGACAATTGAATGTTACTTGCTTCACTTGTTCTGTGTTGGTTTTTTAAAAAACGAAATAACCAGATATGTAAGACCTTCTATACACAGCACCAGCAGGTCTGCCAGATCCAGAAGAAAATGATGGAGATCATGACCCAAGAGGTGCAGACAAATGACTTGAAAGAAGTGGTTAATAAATTGATTCCAGACAGCAGTGGAAAAGACATAGAAAAGGTTTCCTAGTCTATCTTCTGTATGATGTCTTTGTTAGAAAAGTAAAAATGCTGAAGAAGCTTGAGTTGGAATTGCAGAAACTCATGGAGATTCATGGTGAACGTAGTAATTCTGGAAAAACCACTGGTGATGAGGCAGGAGCTACAGTTGAATGAGCTGATGGGTATGAATCACCAGTCCAAGAATCTGTTTAAAATTCAGATTTTTAACAGTAACAAATAAAAAGTCCTATTTGTAAAGAAAAAAAAAAAGAGAAAGGATGTAAAATTTAGTGATACCCTTCACAAGAGTAATAAAGATAGAAGAGCTTTCAGTAATGCCAACTACTAATAATCTTATGCAGAGTCATAAAAATTTAATGACAACATTTTCAACATAAATGGCAAGAGATGCTGTTGCTACTCAGAATCCTGAAAAATGTCAGTTCCCCAATTGATGCTTAAATTTATTCAGTTCCCATTAGAATTCATTTTAAGTTTTTTGTAAACTATGAAAAACTGATTTTTAAAAAATTAACAAAGAACCAAGAATAGCCAGAACTAGAAAATCAGACCAATGGGACAGAATACAGATCTAAGACACAAGCTTAAGCAGAAATGGATGATTTCAATTCCAGTTCTGCCGTATTCTTCAAAAAAAGATTCTATGTTTAGTATTAGGTACTTTTGCTTTGCTTTAAGCAAATACTTGACAGAAGCAGAGAATGAAGGGCTTGGCTTCAAAGGGTTTCTGTCCATCCTCCCAGGGAAAGCATGACAGAAATGGCTCAGTCTGTGGCAGCAGGAATATGAGCTTGCTTGTTCATACTGAGATCTACCAGGAACAGAGGGTGTACTAGAATGGAACCAGGGGCCATAGATCCTTCAAGGCCCGCTTTTGGTAACTTTTCTTCTTCTGACACTGAACTCCCAAAGATTGTATAACCTTCAAAATAGTGCATCAACCGGGCGTGGTGGCAAACGCCTTTAATCCCAGCACTAGGGAAGCAGAGGCAGTTGGATCTCAGGGAGTTCAAGGCCAGCCTGGTCTACACAGTGCGTTCTGGGTCAACAGGGAGACCCTGTCTCAAAAAGTCCCCCCCCCAAATACCGCCCCCCAATCCAAATAGTGCCTCAAACCAATGAGCAGGCATTCAAAACTTGACTGTGTAGGGGGCAGCTCAGATTCCAGTTAATCCATAGCAAGTTTCAGGCCAGGTGGGGCTACAGGGAGACCTTCAGACATAGTTTACAACACATATCTGAAACTCAGTTTTGGCTGTACTAAAATTGAAAATTTAAATAATTTAGAAGACAGCCCTATTGTGTGAGTAAATTTCTTCTTTCAGAAAAAAGCACTATCCATAAAAGTAGAGATTGATCGATTTGGTAAGTACTTGTAAAACTTGTCCTGGCTTCTACTTGCTGGCCATGGCATGCACTTATATGTGTGCTGATATGCACAAACTCTCACACAAATTGTAAAACAATTAAAGTGAGCTGACAGTTTAAAGTCTAGGAGAAGCATACTACACCATAATTAGTGAATGATTATTGCTTCTTTATAAAGAAAGTGACTTTTGGCAGTGCAGTGCTGGAAATGTAGTTGGCTCTGAGTCAAAGTAGCTTCGTGTACCAATAGTTATATGCAGTTTTTCTTAAAAGAAATCTTTCTGCTCTAAACTTTATGACGGATACCTTGAGCTTATTGGGTTGTGTGTGGTTTTGTTTTTGGGGGGTGGGTCTTTTTTTTTTTTTTTTTTTTTTTTTGAGACAGGGTCTCCCTGTAGTCCCATCTGGCATAGATACTATGTAGACCAGTCTGGCCTTGAACTCACAGAGATCCATCTGTCTCTGCCTTTCCAGTGCTGAGATTAAAGGTGTGCACCACCATGCCCAGTTTGAGCTTATTGGGATTTTACAAGACAGTCAAATTCTTAGATTTGTTTGCTTGTTCTGTTCTGTTCTATAGTAACAATTTATTTGAGCTATCTTTAGTTAAGGACAGCTTTAACTGATTAAGAGCCTAAGGATGAGGATGAGTCGCAGAAACACGTATACATTTCTCCATTGTGTGTGGGGGGGCAGGGAGGGGCGTTATACAGACAGGGCTTCACTTTGTGTTGCCTAGACTGGCCTAAAATTCATTATTTCAGCCAGCCGTGGTGGCACATGCCCATAGTCCCAGCACTTGGGAGGCAAAGAGTTTGAGGCCAACCTGGTCTATGTAGTGAGTTCCAGGTCAGCTGGGGCTACAGGGAGACCATGTCTCAAAAAGACCCCCCCCTCAAAAAAAATTCATGATCTCTCTGCTTAGTCCTCTTAAGTGCTGTGATTACGGACATGTACCACCATGCCTGGGTTAATTTTTTTTTTATAGCTAAGCATTAGAAATTGTGTATTTCAGTTCTGAAATTTCTTAAATGAATGAATTTCTCCATTTCAACTGCTTACAGCCAGTTTTTTTGCAGAATTCATCTTTACAGTATTTTGTTAAACTGCAACTAACCAATAGAATCCAGGGCTAACTGGTAACATACTGTTTTTGCCCCTGTTTTTGTAGATTCCTAAGTTCATTAGTCATATTGTCTGCATTCCAAATTACTGTAGTTACTAAAGTTTTGCTGCTATATCACATAGATCCTAATTTTCAGCCTTTGATGATCGTTACTTGCTCTGCAGTTCCAGTGCCAGAGTCTCTCATAGCAGCAACCTGATCTTGCTACCGGTTCTTATATGAGCATTTCTTTTTAAATTTTTTAATTTTTATTTTACATGCATGTGTTGTGTGCGTGTATTGTAAGTACACTATGTGCATAGAGTGCCCATGGAGGTCAGAAGAGGGTGTTGGATACCCTGGAACTGGAATTATGGACATTTATTAGATGGATGCTGGGAACTGAACCCAGGTTCTCTGACTAGAGCAGCCAGTGCTCTTAACTGTTGAGCCATCTCCAGCCGCTAGCCTTTAAAAACTTTTTAAAGATTTATTTATTTTATGTATATGAATGTTTGCCTGCATATAAGTATACCACGTGTATGCCTGATACCCAAGGAGGACAGAGGAGGGTAGCAGATCCCCTAGAACTGGAGTTTTGGGTGGTTATGGGCTGCTATAACATGTGAAACTGATCCCAGGTCCAGTGCAGCAAGTGCTCTTAAAATTGCTGACCTTCTCTCTGGCCCCATACTGGCCTTTCTTGAGCAAGGCTGCTATAACAACCAGTACCATATTTAGTGCCTTAGTATAGTAGAAAGCCATCTCGCATGTTAGCTACAAGTTGTGTGCAGCCCTAAAGCTTCATTAAATGTGTTGTCGCTGTCTTGAGAGGGAGAATTATCAGAGAGAGAGAATTAAAATGGGATAGATAACTTACAGTTGCATTTTGTTGCTCCATACAAGCAAATTTGACTAGGCCCAATGTTCATGTATAAAGGAGTATTTCTTTGTCAGAGGCACATACCACAAGTCACTAGGTTCAAGGACAGGGGTGTATAGTCTCTGCTAAGAAGGCAATAGAATAGTTGAGAACAGAAGTACAACTCAACACTCACTTCTAGATATATTCCCTAAAGCAGTGTTTTTCTAATAACAGAAACTTTAGCTGAAGATAAACAATTAGAAGCTACCAGTATATAAGAGAGAGTAAGGTCAGCCGAGAGTGAAGAGAACGCTTGTGTCCTTATGGGCGAGACATGTGCAGAGGACACTAAGATGGACTATTATTTAGTAGGGCGGTTAAGAAAAAAATGTGTTCTGGACCCTAGAATTATTTTTGCTCCAAAATTTGGAACTGGTGGGGCTGGAAAGATGGCTCAGCAGTTAAGAGCACTGGATACTCTGGCAGAGGACATGTGTTTAGTTTCCAGCACCCACATGGCAGCTCAAAACTGTAACTCCAGTTCCGGAGGATCTGACACCCTCTTCTGGCCTCTGGAGGCACCAGGCACACATGTGGTGGACTTACAACATGCAGGCCAAACACTCATACTCATACAATGAAATAAAACTAGAATGAAGCTGACAGGCTCCAGCGGATGAACTCATGAGTGACATCTAGAAACAAATTTGACTTGATAGGCCTTAACATATATGCCAGAATGCATATATGTGGAGGGTGCAGATAGGGTAGGGGGATCCAAATATGATTAAGATATATGAAATTCACAAAAATTTACTAAAACTATATATTGAAAAAAAAGAGTTAGGTAAAAGAATGAGAATCTGAATGTAAGTACTTTCATCTTTTGATTTTGCATCATTACAGAACTTAATTTCCATAGTTAATATGTACTTTTTAAAAATTTTTTACAGAGATTTGCCACAATATGGACAGAAGCAGTGGCAGTCCTACTTTGGAAGAACTTTTGATGTTTACACCAAACTCTGGAAATTCCAGCAGCAGCATCGGTAAAGGGATTTTGTTTATAAAGGACAGTGAAGGGCCATTTTATATTAGCTACAGTTTTTACTTTAAACAAACTCAATTTTTTTAAACTTCTTATTATATTTTATTCATTTTTTATTTTATGTGTATGTGTACATGCATATGTGTGTATATATCTGTGTGTGTGTGTGTGTTTAAGTGCATTGCATGCACATGCCATGTGAAGATTAGAGATAAACTTGCAAGAGTTGGTTCTCACCTTCGACCATGTGGGCCCTGTGGACTGAACTCAAATTATCAGGCTTTGTGGCAGGTGCCTTTAACCACTGAGCCATCTTATCCACCCATACTCTGTTTAGTTTTTAATCTTGGTAGTTTAAAATTTTTATTATTACATTTATTTATTTGCGTGTGTATGTATGCGTGTGCACGTGTGTACCATAGCATGCATGGATATCAGAGGATGTCTTGTTGGAATCAGTTCTAATTTGTACCATGTGGGTTTTAGGAATTGAGCCATCTTTCCACCTGATCATGGTACTTTAAAAATAATACATTTCACTGCTTTTCAGCCTTTTGAGTAAGATCAAGTGTAATTTCATGGCGCAGATTAAACACTTGAAATTTTCCCATTTAAGGTTTTTCAGTGTGTCGTCTGATTTTTGAAGACTTTGTTGTATCTGGAATGGTCTCCTTGAACTTTAATGTGGCAAGATGATCTGTGGTTTCGTTTTAAAGCACATTCTAAAGTACATGTTAATTGGCTAGTGCTGTTTAGGGAAGGAGGTGTTGCTTCTAATTTTCATGGACATAGATAGCTCAGGCTACTTTCTTTTCTATTTCAACTTTTTTTCCCCTGGGTTTTTGATACCAGGTCTCACTTCTTAAGCAAGTCTCACTTCATAATCTAGGCTTGTCTGAGCCTCCTGAATATTGAGTTTACAGGAGTGAACCACTACATCGGGATTTCAAAAGACATTTAGTACATAATCCTTTTGCTGGGTATGGTGGTACACAACTATAATCCCAGTACTTGAGAGGTAGAGGTGGGAGGATGAAGAGTTCAGGGTCATCCTCAGATGCATAGATAATTTGAGGTTAGCCTATGCTACATGAGACCTTGTCTTAAAAAACAATTGAGGCCAGGTGTGGTGGTGCACCCCTTTAATCCCAGCACTCGGGAGGCAGAGGCAGGAGGATCTCTGTGAGTTCAAGGCCAGCCTGGTCTACATAGTGAGTTCCAGGCCAGCTGGGGCTACAGGGAGACCCTGTGTCAAAAAGACCAAAAAAAAAAAATTGAGACTGGGGAGATGATTCAGTCATACTGGTATGAGATTCCAGTCCTAGTAATCATGTGGTAAAATTCAAGGCAGAGACAGAGACTCCCCAGAAGCTCATGGGACGGCTGGCCTGGCCTAAACAGTATGAACAACAGGACAGGCCAGTTAGCTTGGTTTAGCAGCCATGCAGAAGCCCCAGAATCTCAAGGGCCAGCCAACCTGATACACATAATGGTGAACAGCAGGAGACCCTGTCTCAAAGATGGTAGAAAACAAAGATAAGTACAGACACCTAAGACTGTTGTCCTCTGATTTTTACATATGAGACATAGTACACACACCTGCGTTCACACAAACAGGTGCATACACATCTCACACACACATACACAGAAGATAGGACACAAATGGGGCTGGACCAATGTCTCAACAGTTAAGAGTACTGACTGTTCTCACAGAAGGGCTCGAGAGATGCTCAGCAGTTAAGTGCACTTGGCTGCTCTTGCAGAGGACCTGGGTTTGGTTCCCAGCACCCACATGGCAGCTAACAACCATCCATAATTCCAGTTTCAGGGGAATCTGACGTCCTCTTCTGACCTCTGTGGGCATTGCAGGACACGGGTGAACTTACATGTATCAAGCAATACACTCATACACATAAAATAAAAATAATAGAATAAAAAAAAAGAGCACTCACTGGCTGCTCTTACAGAAGACCCTTCAATTCCCAGCTGCTAATTGTCCATAACTCCAGTTCCAGGGGAATCTGACACCCTCTTCAGACCTCTGTGGGCATTGCATGACATGGGTGTATTACAGAACTGGAAAGCTTTTGCAATATCATGGTAATTAAGAACTTCGGCTGTTGGTCTGATTTTTCCGTAACAGATGCACTTTTGAGACAGGATCTCCCTGTAGCCCCAGCTGTCCTGGAACTCACTATGTAGACCAGGCTGGCCTCGAACTCACAAAGATCCAGCTGCCTCTGCCTCCCAAGTGCTGGGATTAAAGGTGTGCGCCACCACGCCTGGCTGTTTTACTATTTTTTTAACAGAGCATAGGGTAGTTTATTTACAGAAGAGTGAGTGCCCCACATTTTCGGCTGTGTAGTAAAGTCCACACTCAAATACAGATCCCTGTGAAGTGCCTCTTGGTGTTCTCAGCTTATAGATCCTTTGCCCCTCCCCCCACATGCAGCTAAGGTCAATTGATTGGGTGGGAGGGGTAACTGACTCCCCCCCTTGACTCCTTGATGAGAGTGGGAAAGAGGTGTGACTATAGCTTGCCAGCATAGTGGTTGGAAGACATTTCCAATTAACATTCCACCCCTTCCTCTGGCTCTTAACATTCTTTCCACCAGCCTCTTCCACAAAAGTCCCTGAGCCTTGGAGGGGGTGGTAGGTATGGGATGATCTTCCTCCCCTGGTGGCAAGGCACTGAACTTTTGGGATTTCTGCATCATCTGTTTTCCATGGGCTGTTGGCCAATTTGAGTGGGATTCCATCTACTATATTCACCCCTGCCACAGGGGGTTGGCTGGGTTTACAGTACCAGATGTGTGTTCTACCTCCCCAGGCATTCCACGACACAGGTACATTTACATACAAACAGGCAGTAACTCATACACATTAAAAAAAAAATTTGACTGCTCTTGCAGAGGACCCAGGTTTGCCTCCCAGCACCCACACAGTGGCCAACGACCATCTATAACTTCAGTTCTAGGGGATCTGATGCCCTCTTCTGGCAGTTGGTACACTTATATTCAAACTGACAACACTCATAACACATAAAATAAAAATAGATTTTAAAAAGTTGGGCTGGAGAGATAGCTCAGTGCTTAAGAACACTGGTTGGTCTTGCAGAAGACCCAGGTTCGAATCCCAGCACCCACATGGCAGCTAACAGCTATCCGTGACTCCAGTCCCAGGGGATCTGACAGTGTCTTCTGACCTCCTCGGGCATTGCACAACACAGGTGCACTTACCTACCTGCAGGCAATATACTCATACGCATGAAATTAAAATAATAAAATATTTTTTAAAAAATTAAAAAAAAAATCAGTCAGTAGCCAAACATTTTTTAATGTAGTTGAATGGTTATGTTGAAATTTTATAAAAAATTCATGAGCTTTGCTAACTTGATATTTTATCCTATTGAATTTATAGATTTGGTTGTTCTGAAATTTATAGCTTCTAATTTCTGTTGTTTTATCTCCTATCTAAACAGACAAGTCTTGGATAATCGGTATGGCTTGAAGCGGTGGCAAATAGGAGAAATTGCTTCCAAAATTGGACAGCTGTACTACCACTATTAGTAAGTGAATTACACATGGAAAGAATTAAATATTCCTCTGGTTAAAACAGAACATGTGCCAGGTGTTGTGGTGCATACCTTTAGTTCCAGCACTTGGGAGGCAGAGGCAGGCAGATGTCTGTGAGATCCGAGGCCAGCCTGGTCTTTATAGTGAATTCTAGGCCAACTGAGGCTACCTGGAAGATCCTGTCTCAAGAAGAAAAAAAAAAACGAAACAAAAACTACAAAAAACCAGAACATGCAGTCTGGAGGACAGGGTGTTACTCATGGACTTTAGACAGATCAAGATGGCATCAGGATATGACCTGCATAATCCAGGTACTATCATGGTCCGGACACTGTCACCGTCCAGGCACTATCAGTTGCTTCAGGGGCTCTTTTATACAGTCATTTGATCTTAAGGAGTTTGATCTTGATTTTTCATATGACAACTACATGAATTTATTGTTCTTAGGGCCTCACTTAAGTCCTGATGGTCTGTAGAGACTTGTGTTTGAGTGTTCACAAGATACTTTAAAAACTTCTAGTAAGCTATGATTTGAAAGATTGTGTCAAGTAAATTGCACTTTGGTTGTATACTTAGAACAGTAACATATTCCCACATTTGAATGAAGAAAGAACTTTTACAAATCTAAGTCTTGCCACAAAGTAGCATCAAATATACAATAAAAAAGGCTTAGACTAATTTTATTAAAGACTAAGAAAAGACCTCATCTTCCACAAGCTGGCATGCCCCTCAAATGCCCACCATTAAAATCCCTCTTTGCTAGAATATGATCTTTAAAAAAAATCTTGTTAAGGCACGGCATGGTGGCACATGCCTTTAATTCCAGCTCTTGAGACCCAGACCCAGAAGGATCTCTGTGAGTTTGAGGCTAGCCTAGTCTACAAAAGGACTTCAAGGCCAGCCAGGGCTACAGATTGAGACCTTGTTTTAAACCCTGACCCCACCCCCCAGAAAATCCCTTGTTAAGGTACTAAGAATAAGTGACTGCTGAATGCTTATCCCTAAACAAGACTTCTGCACCATCAACAACAACAACAACAACAAAAAAGGCATAGCATGGTGGCATACACCTTTAATCCCAGCACTCAGGAGGCAGAGGCAGGCAGATCTCTGTGAGTTTAAGGCCAGGCTGGTCTACATAGTGAGTTCCAGGCTGGCTGGGGCTACAGGGAGACCCTGTCTCAAAAAGACTTCTACACCATCCCTCCAATGCTCAAGGGCGTTAATTATGGAAATGGGGGTGGGGTGTCTGAAAGAATGTAAGCAGTGGAAGATGGAGAAGGGCTGCAAAATGTCGTGCAATATAGTCTTTGGAACCTCGAACTCCAAAAGTACATATGGCAGCACTGGATCTGTACAAAAATAGACCCATCAGCAGCCTGGCATGAATGGAGTGGGGCTAGGGTGCCCTACTCCCCACTGCTGAACGTTTTCCTACTGATAGATTCAAGGCAGGCAGGGAGGTCATTGCTTTCCTTGTGTGCCGACTAGTGACCCCACCAGCTTCAATAGTTAGTTCCAATTCAGTGGTCACATTAATGGTTGTAGTCATATTTAACTTTCCTTTCCCATAGTTTGCGCACATCTGAAACCAGTTATCTGAATGAGGCTTTCTCCTTCTACTCTGCAATCAGACAGAGATCGTATTACTCTCAGGTCAATAAGGAGGACAGGTAGGTATTACTGTGCTTCCAGAATATGAGAGCAGTGCATGTGGTAATTGTGCAGAACATGTCTCTTTTTATTGCATTTTTATTTTTTTATTTTATGTGTTTTGTTTGCATGTATGTATTTATGTGTACCATGTGTGAACAGTGCTCACAAAGGCCAGAAAAGGGCATCTGATCTCCTGAAACTGGAGCTATAGATGGTTGTTAGCTGCCATGTGGGTGCTGGGAATTGAACCCAGGTCCTCTGCAAGACCAGCCAGTGCTCTTAACCACTGAGCCATCTCTCCAGTCCTAATCTTTATTCATACATCTTTAAAAGGTTACTGACAAATTTCATATAGAACCAGAGAAAAGATTGTTGTTATTTGAGTTTTTTTATTTATTTATTTATTTATTTATTTATTTATTTATTTATTTATTTATTATTTTGGTCTTTTTGAGACAGGGCCTCCTTGTAGCCCCAGCTGGCCTGGAAGTCACTATGTAGACCAGGCTGGCCTTGAATCCACAGAGGTACACTTGCCTCTGCCTCCCAAGGGCTGGGACTAAAGGCATGCACCACCACACCCAGCTTGATTGATTTATTTTTATTTTATGTGTGTGGGTGTTTTGTGTGCATGTATATAATGGAATCCATGCATGTAATGCTTATGGAGACCAGAAGAGTTCCATGCAACTGGAGTTGTTAGCTACCATGTCAGTGCTGGGAACTGAACTTGGGTCCTTCGGAAAAGCATAGGGTCCTCTTAACTGCTGAACCATCTCTCCAGTCTGAATTTTCTGTTTTAAACTCAATACTGCCGGGTATGACGGTGTGTATGCCTTTGATACCATCACTGGAGAGGAATAGGCAGAGGCAGGCAGTTTTATGAGTTTGAGGCCAGTCTGGTCTACATAGTGAGTTCTATGCTAGGTGGGGCTACATAGTGAGACCCTGTATCAAAAATAATGAAATAAAGCATGCAGCAAGAATATTGTTTTGGTATTTATTTAACATTCCACTGGTTAAGTGGTTTTCCATTTATTTATTTATTTATTTATTTTGGAGGGGGTAGTAGTGTTTTGAGATATAAAGTCTTACACTGGCTTTGAACTCCTTTGCCTCAACCTCCTGAATCCTGGGGTTACAGGTGTGTCACCATGCCCAGCTGAGCTCTACTGTTTGTTCAGGTTTTTTTTTTTTTTTTTTGTTCTTTTGACATCATGTAGCATTCATGGATTCCTAGTGGAAATCTGTTGACACATATAACACATACAAGACTATAGCAGGTACTTAGAACTAGGGGAGCAAACGAGAGGTGGTGTGCTGGATCCTTCTGAAGATTTTCTTCTGATGGGTTACAGCATTTGGGGTATGGACTGTGGAAGAAACACAGAGGGTTTTTGTTGCATTTCAAGGACTGTTGAAGGAGAACATTCAGACCATAGAAGGTCTACTCCCTGGAACAGGACTCACAGTCGTTATAAAGTGAAGAGATTGTATTTTCTTAGCTGTGAAAGCAATAACATGGTTGTGATATTTTTTCTGAGAGTGCTGTGGTCAGTGGTTGTTAAATTTTCTAGCTAAGTGTTGACATTTAGAGGCATTCTGTCCACTTTGTTCCCTTGGGCATCGTTTACAAACTTCTCTCAGGGAGTTTCTTTGACATGGGGTGGTGTGCGGATGATGGCGTCTGCACTCACCCTACTGTCCTTGTCATTCCCTTGCTTCATCTCTACCCGTGTTCCATCCATTGCTTTTCCTTCATATTTTCTTATGGCTGTCCTCACATATTTTCAGCACAGATGTAGTTCCTCAGCCCTAACTCTTGTCTATTTGTGTTTTGTAATTTGTGTATTTAAAAATATTTTATTATTTTTATTTTATGTGTATGAGTGTATTGCCTGCATGGGAAGGTGCTTCTTTGTCATGGAATGCCCATGGAGGTCAGAAGAGGGCGTCAGATGCCCTGACTGGAGTTAGATGGTTGTTAACCTCCATGTAGGTGCTGGGAATCGAATACAGTTCCTCTGTAAGAGCAGCCAATGCTCTTAACTACTGAGCCATTTCTCCAGTCCTCTTTACAAATTGGTTTTTTTTTTTTTTTTTTTTTTTTGATAAGGGTTCCCCCTCCCTAAAACTCACTTTATGCGCAAAACTAACGTGTCTGGGAATCGAATACAGTTCCTCTGTAAGAGCAGCCAATGCTCTTAACTAGTGAGCGATTTCTCCAGTCCTCTTTACAAATTGGTTTTTTTTTTTTTTTTGGCTTTTTGAGATAGGATCTCCCTGCCTAGAACTCACTATGTAGGCCAAACTGACCTGGAACTCACAGAGATCTGCCTGCCTCTGCTTCCCAAGTTCTGGGATTAAAGGTGTATGCCACCATGCCCAGCTATAAATAAATTTTTTATGGGGGGGTGTCTTTTTGAAACAGGGTCTCCCTGTAGCCCCAGCTGTCCTGGATTCTCTTTGGAGACCAACTGGCCTCAAACTCATAGAGATCTGCCTACCTCTGCCTCCCGAGTGCTGGGATGAAAGGCGTGCGCCACCATGCCCAGCCTATAAATAAATGTTTTTAAAAAATAAATATAAGTGAAGAACAATTTTAAGCAACAGAAAAAAAATGCCTTGTATAATTCACTTTTGTGCATTTTCTAATGTGCCAAAATGCAAATTGCCTTGAACACCTTAGCTTAAAACCTAAAAGTTATTGCAATCATTTTTAGCTTAATAAAGTACCACATCTAAATTGTTTTCCTGTGCTAGCTTTTAGTGTGGATTATATGAAAACAAGAATGACAGAAGTCTTGCTTTGGGACTATAAGTTAAAAATCAGGGCTAGTAAATGGGCTCAGTGGGTATAAGTAATTGCTACACAGGTCCAATGATCAGAATTTGGTCCCTGAAACCCACATAAAGGTGGAGCAAGAATACTGACTCCACAAAGTTGTCCTGGCCTCCACATAGAGCCATAGCCTTTGCACCCCACCTCTAGTGATAACAACAGGTAAAAATTAAAAAAAAAATCAAATGCCAACGCATTATGAAAATGCCTAGACATGTTCTGTGTAGTTAGGGAGAGGTTAATTCAGTTAATAGCTTGTTTGTTTTGCTCTTAGTATTCCTGGGATAAAGAGCTAGTCAAAGTGGTGCTGAGCAGCATCTGCTAAAATCAATAGCTACCAGCCAGAATCAAGTAGGAAAGTGTTTTACAACTTCACAATTCATTTAAATTACACCAGTATCTACTCTCAAATAGCACATTCTCTGTATGACTTAAGCACCTAAAGATTATGTGAAAGGCAAGAAAATGGTATATTGTAGCAGTCACTAAGGTGGCCGGCTCCTCCTAAGTGGAAAGAATTGTCAGAATGGCTCACTCCATTTCCTTTTCTGCTAGTAGAGGATATATAGTCAGGCAGAGCCTGATTGAACTACAGATGGCCAAGACTGAACCAGGTAGAGTGAGATAAAGAGAAGTTGGAGGTTCTAAGCACAGAGAGGTGGTGAGAAATGTTGCAGAGAGTGGCCTGGGAGGTTCACTTTTCCTGGCAGATGTGTAGTTATGAAGTGTGCCTGCAGGAGGCATAAGACTGAAGCTCTGGAACCCAAAAGTTGGTCAAGAGCATCACTATCTGTATGTGATGATGATGGTAGTAGTTTTGTCGTTCTCTAGATATGTTTTGTTTGTGTGTATGAATGTGGGGGTGCATCTGCCCCACTGTACATGCTATGCTCTTCTTCTACACTGCAGGTCCTGGGGAGCAACCTCCAAGTTCAGGATTGGCAGCTAGCCAATTGAATTGTGTTGTTGTTGTTTGTGTGTGTGTGTGTGTGTGTGTGTGTGTGTGTGTGTGTGTGTGTCTCCCTGTAGCCCCAGCTGGCCTGTAACTCACTTTGTAGATCAGGGTGGTCTCAAACTCACAGAGATTTACCTGCCTCTGCCTCCTAAGTGCTGAGATTACAGGCGTGTGCTACAACACCCAGCCAATGTTTTGTTTTAAGTAGGCATTATGAGTTTAAATTTGAAACTTTGTTGCTTCTGAATGGTGGTGTTGAGAATGTACTGTGACCTTTTTCAGTGAGGGATATGCTCTTTCTTAGGGTGTGGGACATGGCTCAGTAGGATATGGGCTCTGGGACAGATTTTTAGGGTATCTGAGGCATATGAATGTGTAGTACTGATGAACCCCTGCTGTGCTTTCGGGGGTTGAACACTGGCTCCCAGAACAGATTTGTTGGTCCTCTTTGGTATGTTTGCAAGGGGAGCAAACTATGGCCTGCATATTCGAGTTTATACTGCCTGGCAGCTTAGACTTATTCCCAGGTCAAAAGCTACGAAAAGACACATATGCTGTAGACATGCAGTATGGCTTACAAAGCTTTAAATATTTACTGATCCTTTATAGAAAGTTTGCTAGCTGTATAAATCACAATAAAGGTTCATAGGATCTGGTATTTATCAAAAATTTCAAGAATTAGTATCATTCTTCTCTTTGAATTTCATTTCTGACAGTGTGATAGCATAAATAACCTAAAATACTTTCTGTTTGAAAACACCTGGAAATGGTGACTACAATAGATTAGTCATGGAGCTGGCAAGATGCCTCAGCAAGTAAAGGCTCTTGCTGCCGAGCCTGACAATTTGGGTCCTACAGTGGAATGAGAGAACCAACTACTACTACAAGTTGTCCTCTGACCTCCACGCTCCTGCCTTCTGTAGAGGTTGTAAGATACAGCACTAAAACAGTGTTTTCCTAATCAGAAAGTGAATATGAAAGCACAATAGAGAAAAACAAAGCCCAGATGGGCAAAGGGAAAACAAATAGTAAGTGGTCAACACAAACTCAGCAAAGCAATGTAAGCATTCAGAGTAAATGGTGTAATGGTGTAAGTACATCAAACACACAGCAGGATCAACAGCGTGGATAGAGCAGGAAAACCTTACCGGTAATAGGCTATTTATAAAAGATGCTCTTAAATAAAAAGACTCATATTGTTGAAAATCGGATGGAAAAGGCATGCATATAAACAGCACTGAGAAAGCAGCTTGGTTGTATTAACATAAGAAAATGGGATTTCAAGACAGAATATTCTTTCTGGAATTATTTTTACCTCATATTTTCTGCTTATAGTCTAGTCTCCTATTCTTCCTGTAGGCTTAAAAGTTTACTATTTTCTCTAGGAAGACTTTTTTTGCCTATGACCCAGTCCTGTGAGCTTATATTAGTGTTTCTTGTCACTGAGCTTTTAATCCATCATGGCAGGAAAGGTGTGGTGGTAGGAGCTGCTTGTGGCTGGGACTGCAGGACCAGGAGGCAGTTTTTCACATTGTATTGTCAGGAAGCATTGTGCTGAGGCAGACATGAGGCAGGCCTGTAGCCTTCAAGATCTGCAGCCAGCAACCTACTGAAGCCAGCCTCCTAATCTACTACTAGTTGGGGATCAAGTGTTCAAAAATTGGGGACTTTGGGGGCTAGAGAGATGGCTCAGCGGTTAAGAGCACTGACTGCTCTTGCAGAGGACCTGGGTTCAATTCCTAGCACCCACATGGTGGCTACAAACCATCCTTAACTCCAGTTCCACGGGCCTCCGAAGCCCTCTTCTGACCTCTGCAGCATTGCACGACATGGGTGCACTCACATACATGTAGGCAATACACTCGTACACATAAAATAAAAATAATAAATATTTTTAAAAATAGGGACATGTCAGATTCAAATCAAAATAGGGCTCATATGGTATCCTTTATTTCTCCTCTGATTATATTTATTCCACTGTGTTTTGTATATTTAATTAATTCATACTTATTTTAATTACTTTTCTATCTGTGAGGTCTGTAAAGAAGGGATTTTCTCTCTGTAATTTAATCATTGTCCTTTTAACAACATGGCATTGTCTCTTAGTCACCTAGATTCTCAATAGGTACATGTTGAATGGATGAATATGTGAATGATTATTTTAGTCACTTTGTGAAAAAATGTGTTTAAAAGGCTGGGTGTGGTGGTGCATACCTTTAATCCCAGCACTTGGGAGGCAGAGGCAGGCAGATCTCTGTGAGTTCAAGGCCAGCGTGGTCTACATAGTGAGTTCCAAGACAGCTGGGGCAACAGGGAGACTCTGTCTTAAAAAGACCAAAAAAAAAAAGCTATATGGGCTGGAGAGATGGCTTAGTGCTTAAGAGCATCTGCTGTTGTTACAGAAGACCTGGGTTGGGTGTTATGAGGTTTGTTTCACCAGGGAAGACCACTCAGACACAGGAATTGCCAAAAGAAAGTCGTTTATAGCTGGCTGGTGACTACACTGGGCATTCGGGTCCCAAGTACAGCCCCAAGTACATTCGGGTCCCAAGTACAGTTTTTAGGGTAAACTTTTATACAGAAAATCCACATGCAGGGGTGAAAAGTTTAAGTTCCGGGGCTGGAGAGATGGCTCAGCTGTGAAGAACACTGGTTGTTCTTGTGGAATACCCAGGTTCGAATCCCAGCACCCACATGGCAGACAACAACTGTCTGTAACTCCAGTCCCAGGGGATCCAACAGCCTCTTCTGACCTTCACGGGCATTGCACAACATGGGTGCACTTACCTACATGCAGGCAATACACGTATACACATAAAAAATAATAATAAAATTAAAAATAAAAAGTTTAAGTTCCAAAGCTTAGGGTGGAAAGCCCCCCTAACAATTTGTATTCTGTAAGAGAACAATTTATTCTGCAAGAGCAAGCCAAGGGAAGAGTACAGAAGCCATAAGTCTGCTGTTAGCGGGAGCAATCAGGCATATGCCAACCTGTTCTAAAATTCCACACCTTGGTGCATCTGGGTCAAACTTTTCCACCACATTTGAGCTAACTTCTCTAGCTTTAACTACTGTGGCTTGCTTATAACATGGCATAGCTATGGTCAATCCTGAGGTGCCCCACCACATGGGTTCTCGGGACACACAAAGCAACTAACATCTGTCAGTAAATCTAGTTCCAAGCCATCTGATGCCCCCTTCTGGCCTCCAGGCATTGCATACACAAGTGAAGGTACATACCTGCATGCAAAACGCTTATACACATAAAATTAAATAACAATTTGAAAGCTATATGATCTAGTTTTTTAAAAATATTATTTTTATTTGATGTATATGAGTGTATTGCTGCATGTATGTGAGTGCACCCGTGACATGCAGTGCTGTGGCGGTCAGAAGAGGGATTTGGATTCCCCTGGAATTGGAGTTAAGGATGGTTCATAGCTGCCATGTGGGTGGATGCTGGGAATCGAACCCGGGTCCTCTGCAAGAGCAGTTGGTGCTTTTAACGGCTGATCCATCTCTCCAGCCATCAAAGATATTTTTTTAAAAAACTAAATCACGAGGCTGGAGCTGGAGAGATGGCTCAGCTGTTAAGAGCACTGACTGCTCCTGCAGAGGACCTAGATTCAGTTCGCAGCACTCACATGACGGCTAACAACTGTCCGTAAATTTTTTAAATTGTGTTTATTATTTTTATTTTATGTGTACGCATGTATTGCCTGCATGTAGGTAAGTGCACCCATGTTGTGCAGTGCCCGCAGAAGACAGAAGAGGTCGTCGGATTCCCTGGAACTGGAGTTATGGACAGTTGTTAGCTGCTATGTGGGTGCTGGGATTCGAACCTGGGTCTTCTGCAAGAACAGTCAGTGTTCTTAACCGCTGAGCCATCTCTTCATCCCCTATTTAATTAATTAATTAATTTTGGAACAGGGTCTCCCAAAATTAAAACTGGCCAGCTGGCCTGGAACTTGCTATGTAGACCAGACTGAACTTGATCTCATGGAGATCCACCTGCCTCTGCCTCCCCTGTATTGGGGTTAAAGGTATGCATTACTCCTGCCAGTTTTTATTTTGATTTTTTTGAGACAAGATCTCATGTATCCAGGTCTGGCCTTGAACTCACTACTTGACCTTGGGCTCCTGGTCCTCCTGCTTTCACTCCTAAGTGCTGTGAGTCCAGATGTGTGCCACCATGTCAGGCTAAGGCTATGTGGTTTTATGTGGGAAAAAAGTTTATTTATTTTTGAGTTATTTTTATTTAATGTGAATGAGTGTTTTGCCTGCATATGTGTAGGTATATGATGTGTTCAGTGCCTAAGGAGGCCAGAAGAGGACATCAGATCCCCTGAAACTGGAGTTACAGACAGTTGTTAGCCACCCTAAGGGTGCTGTGAACCAAACCCAGGTCCTCTTGCAAGAGCAGCCAGTGCTCTTAATTGCCAAGACATCTTATGTGGGAAATTTTATCAGCATCCAAAAGATGAAATTTTAAAAGCCAACAGAAAGTTGGAAAAGTTAAAATGTTTTCCATTTTAATGTAATAGTTCCTTTTCCTATCTGCCACAGGCCTGAGTTGGTGGTTAAGAAGCTACGGTACTATGCAAGATTTATAGTAGTTTGTCTTCTTCTTAATAAAATGGATGTTGTGAAGGATCTGGTAAAGGTAAATGTACTACTTTTATTTTTTTTATTTTTTCATTTTTATGCGCAGGGTCTTGGTGTATAGCTCATGTTGGTCTTGAATTTGCAATCCTCCTGACAGCCTCCCCAGTTCTAGAATTATATCTACTTTAAAACATTAATTTCTAATTATATATGGATTAAAAAAATAGATTTGAGGCTAATTTATTTTTAGGGGGTGACCCCAGAGTTTCATGCATGCTAAACATGTGCTACACCACTGAGCAATGCTTACCATAGTTCTAAATAATTTTGATATATCTGGGCTAATCACTGCATTCATAGTATAATAACCTCTGGCAAGAGTAATGAGAAATGGGTTGTCAAGTCTCTTGGTATTTCTGTTTGCACTGCCTAAAACATTCACTGAGAGGATATAAATGTCTTGCTTTTGTCCCTTCACCATGTTTTCCATTTTTATGTCCTATCAATGGATGGTTAGATAGTGCAAACAGATGTTAAAATACTTCATTTAGGGGAAAAAAAAAAGAATGTAAGAAAAAGTACATGCTGTTTACCAGAACATTGTGAATATGTTTAAGTTTTCCATTTCTTTTGTGTTACTTACTTTTGTGTTGTGCATATCAAAATACTTGACAGCTTAAGGGTTTGAAGATTTTTTTTTAATTTTATTATTTTTATTTTTATGTGTATGAGTGTATTGCCTGCATGTATGTGAGTGCACAGTAGGATGTAAATCCAAAAAGGAAGTATTTTTTGTATGTTAAAATTTTTTAGTTTCTCCTTTCATACATTTTGGATAAATTTATTGCTGAGATAAGTACCTAGGAAGTAGATCTTTATTAAGTTTTTATTGATGTGAATCATTCTGAAATTTTGTTTTGTTTTGTTTGTCCTTTTTAGACAGGGTCTTTCTGTAGCCCCAGCTAGCCTGGAGCTCACTATGTAAACCAGGCTAGCCTTGAACTCACAGAGGTCCACCTGCCTCTGCCTCCCGAATGCTGTGATTAAAAGTGTGCGCCACGACACCTGGCTCTGAAATTTTCTATTTTTCAAATTAAAAATCTGTTATTTTCATTCTTAGGTTTCCCTTATAATTGGGTATTCCTACACTGATCAAACTTAACTATGTGATGATCCGTTACGAATACTACAAATAGCTGTTCTTTTTTTTTCTTTTTTAATTTTATTTATTATTATTTTTTAACCACTCTTCTGTACTTTGTTTATTGACTTACAATCACCCTTGTCTCTTGTAAAATAAATGACGTAGGCAAATTTCAAATTGGTAGAAATAACATTTTTAATAGAATCTTTAGGTTAAAGCATTGAATATGAGTTTTATTTAACAAAAATAAACATATACAGCTTAAAAGATTTTTTTTTTTTTTTTTTGGTTTTTTTGAGAAAGGGTCTCCCTGTACTCACAGAGATCTGCCTGCCTCTGCCTCCCAAATGCTGGGATTAAAGGTGTGCACCACCACACCCAACCTAGATTAAAAGATAAATAAATATCATATATGAGATTTTGAAATATCATATATTAAAGGCAGGAAAAAGCAACATTATACTCAAAATATAAATACTAGAGTTCATTATCTGGCACTTTCAAAGAGGTAAACTAAAATGCCAATAGGTTAGAACATGGTTAAATCACAAATTTTTTTATTAACAGTTTGCTCTGTACTTTTCCTACTCAAGTAATACTGAAAACATCTAAGAATTCTTCCTATTGTATAAATGAATGTGCTAGACTATTTGTTTTCCACACTGAAACACAGGTAATGATGCATCTCCAATACTTAAGAGTGACTTTTTCTTTTAGTATAATAGAAAGATGTCCAGAACACCTAAGGCACTGTAGAATGCATTCTCATTACTAAAAAGAAAATAATCTCCATTTAGATTTTGGGACGGAATATAATACAGCAATTACTCATGGAGCAGTTGCATTAATGAAGAAGAAAATTTGGTTGAGGATCAAATAAACCTACAAAGTTGTCCCTTTAATAAGCTCCAATTCTGGGAATACAAGTATAAAAAAAAGAACACAGTTAAATCTACAAAAATATCACATCTTATTCTATTAAAATATACTAGCAATTGATGTTATTACTTTCATTTTGTTTCCCATAATACTCTTACCTTGCCATACTATCTTAATTAGGTCGTGCTGTGGTCTTTTTTGTTATGAAAAATTTTGGTGTTTGGATAATGTTACCATTTTATTTTATAAAGATATTTTCCTTAATACATTTCAGGAATTTCAAATTTGTGTGTGTTCATGAAAGTGATCACATATCTGTATTTGAGTCCTGTTACTAAATTTTTGTCACAGTTGTGATATTTATATTTCACAGAGTGAAATTTTTTTAAGCCACAGAAGTCAGAAGTGGGCTTTGGATTCCCCTGGAACTGGAGTTAAGGACAGTCCATAGCTGCCATGTGGGTGCTGGGAATTGAACCCAGGTCTCTGCAAGAGCAGTCTGTGCTCTTAATTGCTAGCCATCTCTCCAGTCTCCAGAGTGAAATCTTTGACAGTGAATAACTGATGAGATTTAAGAATTTTGAGAGGTTCCTGTTCACTATGAATTTTCTTATGTGTTCTAAGATTAGAGTTCTATGTAAATGACTCTTCATATTCTTTTGAGCTGTAGAGTTTCTTTACACTACAGATTCTGTGACGTTCAAGATGATTTGAAGTTCAAGTAAAGTCTTTTTCACAGTCTTTATATATCTAGTTTCTCCCACATACGAGTTGTGTTATGTTGAACAAGAAATAGCTTTTGTTGAAGATTTTGCTTCACTAATTTTAGTTCTAAGCTTCGGCGTCAGTATAAATTCTATGTTTTCTAGGATTTACTTATTAAAATTTTCATCATTATACCTACCTTTAAAAGTTTCTATTATGAATTATGTAATGATTTCTAAGTATTTAGCACAGGGTGAAGGATTTTCTACATTCTGTATTTCTGTAGCCTGCTCTCCAGTATGACTTCTGTGAGTGCTAATTGGCATATAAAGGAACTGGCTGCATTACTTACATTCGTAGTATTTTTATTCACTATTAATGCTTTACTGTTCTCTAAGAGGTGAAATATAATTAAGGGGCTTGATGCATTCTTCACATTGTTAGGGGTTTTCTCTGATGTCGTTTCTTTTATGGACTGTTGGCAGCCAGCCAGGGCTCCATCTTTGGCTGGCTCGGCTGTGCTCGCTTCCCACAAAATATGATTAAGGGGCTTGATGGATTCTTAACATTCTTGGGGGTTTTCACTGACGTGGTTTCTTTTATGGACTGTAGGATTACATATTTGATTAAAGAACTTTTCATATTCTTCACATTTGTGGGGCTTCTCTCCGGTATGAATTCTTTCCTGTGCTCTAAGAGATATATAGATGTAAAGGACTTGTGACATTTTCCACATTTGTAGGGTTTTTTTCCAGTATGGATTTTTTGATGTTCTCTAATTTGTGATAGTTGGCGAAAGGACTTCTCACACTCTGTACAGTTGTAGGGTTTCTCGCCAGTATGAATTCTTTGGTGTCTCTGAATATGTGATATTCAACTAAAGGACTTTTCACGGTCTTCACATTTGAAGGGTTTTACCCTTGAATGAATTCTTTGATGCCTCCTGAAGTTTTGAGCTCATAGTAAATGATTTGTCACATTCTTCACATTTGTAGGGCTTTTCTCCAGTATGAATTCTTTGATGTACTGTAAGATATGATTCATAACAAAAGGACTTCTCACATTCTGTACATTTTTATTTTATGTGTATGAGTGTTTTACCTGCATGTATGTGAGTGCACCCGTGTCCTGCAATGCTGCAGAGGTCAGAAGAGAGCTTCGGATTCCCCTGGAACTGGAGTTAAGGATGGTTGGTAGCCACCATGTGGGTGCTGGGAATTGAACCTGAGTCCTCTGAAAGAGCAGTCAGTGCTCTTAACTGCTGAGCCATCTCTCTAGCCCCATCTGTTCATTTATTTTTATGGAGATTTAAATTATTGTATTTTTTATTTTTTATTTATAGATTTTTGTGTGTGTATTTCATACAGAACATCCCAAACAATCTTATTCCTCTTTATACCTGCATCCCAAATAGCACCCTCCCATGGCACCCCCCCTCCACTGGAGCCTATATAATCTTGTCATTGTATGTGTTTACAATTGTGATGGAAGTCAGAGGACAGTTTGTAGGAGTTGGTTCTCTTCTTCCACCATGTGGTTCCCATGAATTGAACCCAGGTGGTTCCCAGGTGGCAGGTGCCTTTACCCAATGAGCCATCTCACTAGCCTTTTTATGGAGATTTTTATTGTTTTTCTCTGTGGTATTTTAATATCAGGAATTATCTGATGAAATTGAAGATTATACTCATCGCTTTAACACTGAAGATCAAGTGGAGTGGAACTTGGTGCTTCAAGAAGTAGCAGCTTTCATTGAGGTCAGCTTGTTTTGGTGGTATTGGTTTTTTTTGACAGGGTCTCCCAGTAACCCTGACTAGCCTGGAACTCACTATGTAGACCAGGTTGGCCTCGATCTCACAGAGGTCCAACTGCTTCTGCCTCTTGAGTGCTTGGAGTAAAGGCATGTGTCCCCACGCCTGGCTGAGGTCAGTTTTTACTGATTTTTGTTTATTTTATGTGTATGAGTGTTTTGGGCTGCATGTATGTAAGTACACCATGTGAGTGCAATGCCTGCAGAGGTCAGAAGAGGGGTTTCGGATCCCCTGGAACTGGAGTTATGGATGGTTGTTAGCTGCCAGGAGAGTGGCTGGGAACCAAATCCGCATCCTCTGCAAGAGCAGCCAGTGCTCTTAACCTCGGAACCATCTCTCCAGCCTCTGAGGTCGGTTTTAAAGTGAAAAGTTGTTATAATCATCTTAAGCTAAATGACTGTGCTCCATTTTATGGTCTGTATATGATGTTGAGAAGAAGAAAATACATGTTGATATTTATTTTGTTTTACCATTAACTTCTTGATTTTTTTCTTCAGGCAGACCCTGTGATGGTGTTAAATGATGATAACACCATTGTTATTACATCTAATCGTCTTGCTGAAACAGGAGCCCCCTTGCTGGAGCAAGGCATGATTGTGGGCCAGTTATCTCTGGCCGATGCACTCATTATTGGTAATTGTAATAATCAGGTAATGAACTGTGAAAGATGATGCTTAAAATTTACTTGGAAATTGTTTTGGTTTTTTGAGACAGGATCTTCCTGTAGCCCCAGGTGGCCTACAAGTCACTTTGTAGACCAGTCTGAACTGAAGTCTCACAGAGATCCACCTGCCTCTGCCTCCAGAGTGCTGAGATTAAAGGTGTGTGCCACCACACCCAGCTAACTTTGAAAAATTTTTGTCATGGAGTCAGAAAAGGGTTGAATAACCTAGAGCTGGAGTTAGAGGCTTTTGTGAGCCACCTGATTTGGGTGCTAGAAACTGAACTTGGGTCCTTTGAGAGAGTAGTATGTGCTCGTAACCATTGAACTTCATCCCCAGCCTAGTCATTATTTATGAAGAAACAGTGATATCACAAAGTGTGTGTGTGTGTGTTTGTGTGTGTGTGCGTATGTTTAACACAAAAAATCAAAGTGCCTTCACTAATGGACCTTGCACTTTAGTTATGAAAGCAAATGTTAACCAAGTAACTGCTTGGATGATATCAAGTAGCCACTTCAATAAATGTGACAAAGGATAAATCTTTGGTTCTGATGTCTGGCATCAAGGAATTTGGGTTGGTCTCAGAGGTCATTACATGTTTTTCTGAGAATGGTGCTTTGGTGAAGAACTAGAGTATTTGGAAAGTTACTCATATCGAGAGTAAGATTGCCACATCATGCCATTATAAGAATTGGTATTGCCATATGGAGGCCCAGTTGGCTTGGGAAGCATGAGACACTAATAGAAGCTGTGCCCATTGCAGTAGAGAGAACAAGAAGCACAGGAGGAAGCCAGAGAGGTAGGACTGTGTTCCCAGGGTCTGGCAGGCACACCAAGTAATGTGTCTGTTTCCTCAGTTCACAGCAAAGCCAGCAAAGTGTCCAGAGGAAGAAGAGGATTGTGATGAGGGTTGTGTTTTGAGGAGACCTTTTTTTTATTTTTATTTTTTGGTCTTTTTGAGACAGGGTCTCCTTATAGCCCCAGCTGTCCTGGAACTCACTATGTAGACCAGGCTGGCCTTGAACTCACAGAGATCTGCTTGCCTCTGCCTCCCAAGTGCTGGGATTAAAAGTGTGCTCCACCACGCCCAGCAAGATCATTTTTTATCATTGATTTGTTTATTGCTAGTTTTAGTTAGCATACAAAGTGATGGTAATACTTTGTCCTACAGGAAAGGTGATAATACTAGATCCATAAGGTTGGTTTTGAGAGATAGGTAAAAGGTACAGCCAGTAGCACTTGGTATGTCATGGGATATAGAGGGAAAGAAAGTCTAAATTTCAAGGATCACTTTGAGATTTTGGCTTTGTACAGTTATATAGGTAACATAGGGTGCTCTTCAGGTGACCCTGCTTCCATGGTTTGGAATGGGAAAAGACTATCTGTAGAGGGAGGAGAGTTAGAGAAGAATTAAAGGGCTAGTGAGGACTGGAGATGTAGCTCAGTTATTAAAGAACCTTGAATTCGTGAGGCCCTGAGTTCCATCCCCTGTACTACATAAATGGGGTCTGATGGCAAACAGTTATAATCTTAGCAATGGGAAGGTGGAAGTAGTGAGATCAGAAGTTCAAGGTCACTTTAGGCTATATAACCACCCTGGGCTACATGAGACCCTGTCTCAAAAAAATGGGACAGGGCCTGGAGAAATGGCTCAGTGGCTAAGAGTACTTACTGTTCTTCCAGAGAATCCAACTTTGACTCCCAGTACCCACATCAGGCAGCTCACAACTACTTGTAACTTCAACTCCATGAGCTCCTGCTCTCATGTACACATATGTACATATGATTAAAAATAATAAAACTACATCTTAACAAAAAAATTAAATGGGACTAGAATGTGGCTCAGTGGTATAACCCTTGTTTGGCATGCATGAGACCCTGGGTTTGATCCTCAGCACTGCATCATGTATGTATGAATGAGGTATAGTTCTGAAATTTCAATGAATAGTCTTCCTAAATAAATATAGAAATCACTTCTCTTTGACCTATTGCCTGGTGCCTATTTAGTGTTCTGCATATGTACTAGTGAGAAAATGGAAGGGACGCACTCTTAAAATATATGTAGTTCCAAAACATACTGAAGAGATTATAAAACTTGAGTTCAGATACTTAGCTGAAAGGTAGCATGTTTTATAGGACCTGTTTTAACTTTCTTGTTGCTTTATAAGAACCACTTGAGGGAATTGATGCATCAGTGGAGGTCTAGATAGAAGAAATACATGCTGGAGGCAGCCCAAAGATTATACACAGTATAGAGTGAACATGCATGTCACTGCACAGTTCTTTTGCCCTGTCTTTTGAAAATCTTTGTGTTGCACCATTACAAAGTGCCAGCTGTCATTAGGTACACCTGAAATTCAGGGGTAATAATGTGACTAAAAACTACAAGGCCTCCCCATTTCATTAATGACTAGGTTTTTGTTTTTTGCAGGTTAAATTCAGTGAATTAACTGTTGATATGTTCCGGATGTTACAAGCCCTGGAAAGGGAGCCAATGAATTTAGCTTCCCAAATGAATAAACCAGGAATGCAGGTGATGATCTCCCCACATTTTCCAGGGTGGTAACTCTTGCTGGTTCTGTTTCCCTTGGGGTACACAAGCGTGAATAAAGAGCTCTCTTGAACCAGGCATGGTGTCTCACATGATTCCAGCATTTGGGTGTTTGGGGGTGGGGGGCAAGACAGGAGAATTGTTGCAAGATTGAGGCCAGCCTGGGCTTAGTGAATTCTGAGAAAAAATAAAAAGAACTCTCTCGAGACACAGAGAATCTGACAAGCATAATGTCAGTACAGTTGATAAAAGTAGGATATTTGATGTAAAGAATAAGAACAGTTGACCATGATAATGCATCAGTGAGATATCACTTTTTCATTATTTTTTGGTGTGTAAATGTAGGAATCAGCTGACAAGCCCACCAGACGAGAAAACCCCCACAAGTATCTGCTCTACAAACCGACCTTCAGCCAACTGTATACATTCTTAGCAGCATCTTTTAAGGTACGTGTGGCCCAGCACATTTATGCAGTGGGAAAGTATGCCTGTGGTAGATTTAGTCACTCTTCATATATCTGACTTAAGTATTTAGGTTAAACATGAATATGGAACACTTTTTGCATACTGATCCTAACTGTTGCTATATTTGGAATGACAGTTGCTTATTATGTGAATGAATAAACATCAGTTAATGAGAATATCGGTAAATTATCATTCCCTTATAGGTTTATATTAAACTACTTTGGGCTTAATCAATGCAAAACTGAAAAACAGAAACAGAATGCATAGCATTCATATGTTCAAGCAGCTCAATGAGACATTTTAACCCTCTGATAGAACAGTGTTAGCACATGCCTAATCCCAACATTTGGGCAGGAGTTGGATCACCTCCTGGGTAACATAGCAGCTAGTTCAAGAGCAGCTTGGGCACACAGCAAGGTCAAGACAAGTGTGGTCTCCATAGCAAGGATGTGCCTCAAAAAAAGAAAAAAATGAGAAGTTTTCCCAATGTTTACATAGAGAGAGCTGTGACAGACTTTCCCTTTCACACCACCAATGGAGCTCCATATCTCTCTGTGTTTTCAGAGAATATTCTCTAACAACTTGGGAGTTTGAAGTGGTAAATATCTTCCCAGCTCTTGGCAACAATTATACAATGTAGATGATGGTGAACCTCTGCCATGTAGTTTTAGTTGGAACCAACAGAAATAGGATTCTTCTCCTGGAAATAACAGCAGTTTGTTAAATGACACCATTTCTCCAACAACTTTAAATTGTCGTGACCATTAAATAAAACTTGTTTTTCCTGTCTGTGGTTTTGTGTATGTGGTTTTCTTTTAATTTCAGGAGCTGCCTGCCAATAGCGTGCTTCTGATTTACCTGTCAGCCACTGGCGTTTTCCCCACAGGTCGTTCTGATAGTGAAGGTACAATAAAGGAATGCTCCCCATTGTGAGCAGGGCTTGAATTCTCATTATTTTCTACAAGACAATGGCCCATAGCCCAGAGACCACCTCAAGCTTTCTAAAGAAGCTGCCAAATTTATAGCCTTGTCTGTTTGTTGAGTGGCAGTCTTGCAGACAGCCCAGCCAATTCTCTTACAACTGATATTTTTGAATGAAGTCCAAAAATCATTAGACAACTCATATATCAAACATATATTTCACTATCAAATTTACCAAAAGCATTGTATGTAGATGTATACCTGTGGAGTTTGATATTTTGACACTAAAGGATAATGAACTTCACTAGCCTGCGTACTTCCCATCATTGATTCATTATGAGCCTTTAGTGCATTTGGGGATTGGTCAGTGGCTACATATGGCTGAAAGTCTTCGTAGAAATCAGTGTACTCTTGTAACTGTGAAAGTTCAAGTCCTTGTTATGATTTTATTTTCAGTCCTTTTAATTTTGTTACTATGAATTTAATCTGTGCAATATTGGGATGCTGTTTCAGAATAAAACGTTACTCTGTCCAGAACATCTGAGTCCAGAAATTGTTCAGACTAGATAAATAAAGGAATTGAGCATAAATAAAAGAAATAAGAATTGGGGAAAAGAGAATTAACATTTTCAACATTTTCCTTCTCATCTGTTTGTTGAAATTTGCATTCCTTTATAAAATGCATGTCCCTGTCATCTTCCTTGCATGGCCTACAGAGTCTCTTAAAATATTAAAACGAAAACAAAACAGAGTCAGTCTCTATAGTCTTCACATTGCAGTGATGTTTTAATGGAATATAGCAGAAGTATGAACATTAAAAGTGATATGAGGCCTGGTGTGTAGGTCAGTGATAGAGTGTTTGCTTTGTGGTACAAAGTCCTGAGTTCAATCCTCAGCACTGGGAGAAGTAGTGATGCAACATCAGAAACTACCCTAGTTTTTATTCAGAAGTTAGTAGTTCTGTTTATAGTTAATGTATTCCTTTATAAGAAAACATGTTATCAAATTGGGTTTTCTAGGTCTTTGGTTAGAATATTGATCTATTTATCTAATTACTATATATAACTTAATTTTCCTTATTCAGTGATTACCTGGACATCCCACAATTGCTGTTCAATGTAGAAAAGTGTTAGCTAACTTTTACAACCAGTAGGAAAAGACTAACTAAAACCAGAACTAAGCTGGGAGTGGTAGCTCCTTTAATCCCAGCACTCTGGAGGCAGAGGCAGGTGGATCTCTATGAGTTCAAGCCCAGCCTGGTCTACATAGTGAGTTCCAGAACAGCTGGAGCTACAGAGACCCTGTCTCTAAAAAGACCCCACCCCCCCCAAAAAAAAACAGAACTAAAAAAGTTGACACAGTGGTACAAGTTGATTTTTCATATACTGAAATTTGCAATACATTTTATAAAAATGAAGTTTTTGTTAATGAGAAATTTCAAGTTCAATTCAGAATTTTCATTAAATTTTGCAATTAGTATCTCATTTAAAGTTATATTCACTGAATCAGATGTAGTAGTATAATTCCTATAGTGCCAGCTACTACTTAGGCCAGGAGTTCAAGACCAGCTTGAGCAATATAATGAGACCCTTGAATTTACATATTTTGAGCATGTGTATATGTGTGTGTGTGTGTGTGTGTGTGTGTGTGTATGAGAGAGAGAGAGAGAGGATTGATAAAGATTGCAGTTTTTCTTTGAGATACTTAAATTTTGCTTGCAATGTAAAAGTTATTTTGAGGGCTGGAGAGATGGCTCAGCGGTTAAGAACACTGGTTGTTCTTGCAGAAGACCTGGGTTTGAATCCCAGCACCCACATGGCAGCTAACAACTGTCTATAACTCCAGTCCCAGGGGATCTGACAGCCTCTTGGGCAGTGCACGACATAGGTGCACTTACCTACATGCAGGCAATACACACATTCAGATAAATTAAAAATAATAAAATATGAAAAAAAAATTTTTTTTAAGTTATTTTGAACAGCCCAGGTATCCTTCCCTTTTTACTACCCAAATTAATGGGATGCTGTGGATTCTTGTTTTGTTTCTCATTATATTCTGTTTGAAAAACTGGTGAATAATTAAATGACTTTTAAAAAAATGTTGAAACAGGCAACTTGCTGAAATCATCTAAATATTGCATTCTAGTAAAATGTTAAATTTTAAAATAATTTAAATGTTTTGTAGTTATTGTCCACCTGTATCCAAGGGAGATTTACCTGGTACTTTTGCATCTGAACATCAGATCAGTGTTTCCTTCCAGTTGAATTCTAGGCTTCTTTGCTCTGTTCTTGTAGGTCCTTATGATTTTGGAGGTGTACTTACTAATAGTAACCGCGACATTATAAATGGAGATGCAATTCACAAACGGAATCAGTCCCACAAGGAAATGCACTGGTATGTATTCTAGTTTCTTTTTATTCTAGGGATTATAGCTCTTTTACAGTATTAAGAGAGGGCTGGAGAGATGGCTCAGCGGTTAAGAACACTGGTTGTTCTTGCAGAAGACCTGGGTTTGAATCCCAGCACCCACATGGCAGCTAACAACTGTCTGTAACTCCAGTTCCAGGGGATCTGACAGCCTCGTCTGTCCTCCGTGGGCACTGTACGACACAGGTGTACTTAACTACACGCAGGCAATACACACATACACATTAAAAAAAAAAAAAGTATTAAGAGAAATGGAAAGTATATTTTCCTCCTAGTCAGTTCCTTTAGACTACTGTTGATAGCACTTATTGTATTACTCTATGAAAGCATGCCTTTTTACTAAACACAGTACCACCTTTAGAATTCCTCTAGCTGAGAGAAAAAAACCTGATTTTTAAGAGCAATAATACTTTAATATAAAAAATAATACTTAATGGGACTGGAGAGATGACTCAGTGGTTAAGAGCACTGACTGCTCTTGCAGAGGACCTGGGTTGGAATCCCATCACCCACATGGTGGCCAACAACCATCCATAACTCCAGGTCCAGGGGATGGGATTCATAGCCCTTTTCTGACCTCTACAGGCATTGCATGGCATGGGTGCACTTAATACATACAGGCATAATACACATATGAAATTTTAAAAAATGTTTAAAGTACTTTATATAAAAATATCGACTGTTTATATGGAAGCATGGAGAAGAGAGATGAGACCTGTGATGTTTCAGATTGTACATGAAGTAGCTCAAGTTACCTAAGCCACACGTGGTACTGTTGCTTACCTTATTTTTAAATTGTTATTTTAGAAAAATGTAATGCATATATGAAAACGTACTCAACAAGTCTTAATTGTCAGAGTATAAGTAACACCATGAGAAAATATGACCCATCATCTGTTAGGATAGTTGTAGCAAAAGACAAGTGTTGGTGAGGATGAGAACAGAGAGCCCTTGAAGACTGTTGGTGGAAATATAGATTGGTTTGTATAATTATTACAGAAAACAATATGGAAGTTCCTCAAAAGGTGAGAAATAAGTGCCATCAAGATGGCTTAGAAGTAAGTGCGCTTGTTATCCAGCAACCCTGAGTTCAGTCCCAGGGATCCTCATGGTAAAAGGAGAGAACCTGCTCCACAGAAGTTGTCCTCTGACTGTCACATGAACACTATGCACACACACAATAAATAAAGAAATAAAGAAATGTAAACAAAACAAGTTAAAATAGGCAAGTACAGTGCCACATGTCTATAATACACTTATGAGTTCAAGACAGCCTGGACTACATAGCAAGACCTGTCTCCAAATAAGTAAAGGAATGAGTGAGTAAATAATTAATAAATAAATAAATAAATGAAGATATGAGTGAATGAATAAACAAAACTAGAACTGTGTGGTTGGCTAGATGGCTCAGCAGTTAAAGCAATGACTATACAAAGAAAAGGACCAGAGTTTGGATCCTCAGAACCCATGTAAATGCCAGATGTGTGTGTTAGCCTATAATTCAACCTGGGAAGGAGAGGTGATCCCCACAGGAAGCTGGTTGACTAACTTTATCAGCAAGCTCTGAGTTTGAGAGACACTGCCTTAAAGAATAAGGTAAACATATCAAGGAAGAGTCTCAACATTTACCTCTGGCCTATACATATTCATGCACACATATGCATGTACTCACTCGTATACATCCAAACACATGTGAACACAGAATACACTCCACAAGCATGTATACTATAAAGAAGAAAAATAGAACTATATATCAGCAGTCTTATTTGTAGGTGTATATCCAAAGGAAATGAAGTTATGTCATACAGTGAAATACCTCAAACAAGATCCCAGCACCCCCATATTCATTAGAATATTATTCACAAAGGCCAAGTTAGAAACAACCTCTCAGAAATTTTGGGGCTGGAGAGAAGGTTCGGCAGTTGGTTAAGAGTGTGTAGTGCTCTTGCAGAGGACCCGCGTTTGTTTCCTAGCACCACGTTCAGTGACTCACAACTACCTATAATTGTAGCTGCAGGGGGATCTGAGGCTCTGTCATTCACAGGGCAAACAAACATGCATACACATGCATATCTTTTTACAATTCTTGGACTGGAGAGAGGCTTAGTGGTTAAGAGGACTTGATCCTCTTGCAGAGGACCCAGATTGAATTTCCAGCAACCACATGGTGGCTCACAACTACCTGTACCTCCCTCTTCTGATCCTGAAGCACATTCCTGCATGTATGTGAGTGTACCCCTGTTGTGCATTGCCTTGGAGGTCGGAAGAGAGCTTCGGATTCCCCTGGAACTGGAGTTAAGGACGGTTCATAGCCTCCATGTGGATGGTGGAACTCGAACCCAGGGCATCTGCAAGAGCAGTCAGTGCTCTTAATCACTGAGCCATCTCTCCAGCCCCAAGGGTTTAGTCATTTTTTAACATATATAGACTCCTTAGCTTCGGGGGGTTTTGGGTGGTTTTTGTTTTATCTCACTGTGTGTATTACACATGATGCTCTGAGACTATAGAACTGAAGTAGTTGTCCTCTCATAGCCTCCCAGGGAGGCTGTTCCAACTTGTTTAGATAATATTTTTGTTTGTTTATTTGTTTGGTTTGGAACAGGGTCTCTCTGTAGCCCCAGCTGTCCTGGAGCTCACTATGTAGACCAGGCTGGCCTTGAACTCAGAGATTCGCCTGCCTCTGCCTCCCTAGTGCTGGGATTAAAGGCGTGCACCACCATGCCTGGCTAGATAATATTTTTAAAATACTATTTTTATTTTTTTATGTGTATGAATGTATTGCCTGCATGTATGTAAGTGTACCTGTTTTGTGCAATGCCTGTGGAGGTCAGAAGAGGGCGTCAGAGCCCCTGGAACTAGAATTATGGATAGTTGTTAGCTGCCATGTGGGTGCTGGTAACCAGTACTCACGTCTTTTGCAAGAGCAACCAGTGCTCTTAACTGCTGAGCCATCCCTCCAGCCCCTTTAAATTGTTTTGTTTGTTTTGTTTTGTGACAGTGTCTTTGTATAGTCTCAGCAGGCCTGGAACTCTGTGTAGACCAGGGTAGCTCCATCTCACAGAGGTTTGCCTGCCTCTGCCTCCTGAGTGCTGGGACTAAAAGTTGTGCTCTACCACGCGAGGTAGACTTTTATTTATTAATTAATTTTTAAAACTGTATTTGAATGTTAAGTCTGAGTGTATATAAGTGCACTTTTGTGAAATACCCAGAAGGACAGAAGAGGGCGTTGGATCCCCTGGAACTGGAGTTATAGATGGTTAACAGCCACCATGTGGATGCTGGAATTCCAACCTGGGTCCTCTGCAAAAGCAGCCCATTCTTTCAACCACTGAGCCATCTCTCCAGTTCCCTGGCTAGTTATTTTGAATAACAGTTAACTCTGGATGTTTTTTCAGATAGAATCAATATGAGTGTCCAGTATATACAGATTTTGTATGTGTTTTTTTTTTTTTAACAAGTTTTGTTTTTCTCTCAGTGTTGTGATGGGAAACAGCTGATCAAACTATAGATACAAGGTTTTTGAACTTTGCCAGCACAGCTTATGAAATTCCTCACGGTTATTATTTTCTCCCCAGCCTTCATCCTGGAGATCTCTACCCCTTCACAAGAAAGCCCCTGTTCATCATTGTGGACTCCTCCAACAGTGTCGCCTACAAGGTGAGTTGCAGGAGAGCTAGAACTCATGCTGGATATGGTAGCAACCCCAGGGTCCTAGTCTTAAGGTGTGCCCTTTTATCTTGCTTTGTTTTACTTATTTTCTTACTTAATTTTACAGTTTGTATTTAGTGTTTCTTTTCTTTTGAGGTTGTGCATGCTAGTCAGGATCTGGTGCTATGAATAGAAACAAGAAGAAAACGCATGAATGGACACTCAGTGGAAAATAATAAATCCTCCTGCAGGAAAAAAATATTCAAGATTTCCAAGATCTCTGGTGGGAGGTTTATTTTTGTTATATAACCCAGAATAATTTTCTTTTACAGAGCTAGAGATAATATGGGTAACTTTTTTCTAGTTTTCAAACATTTTCCCTTTCTGCAAAGCTAACTGTTGTAGTTTAAATAAAACTTCTCATGTTACACAGTGATGGTCTTCTAATATTAACATTTTTTTTTTGCATGTACTTTGTTTTTTTAAAGAATTTGTAAAAATCAGTGAAAAGGGCTGTGTGTGGTGATGCATGTCTTTAGTCCCAGCACACAGGAGTCAGAGGCAGGTGATCTCTGTGAATTCAAGGCCAGCCTGGTCTACATAGTGAGTTCTAGGGCAGCTTCGGCTCTAGGAAGACCCTCTCTCAAAAAGGAAAAAAAAAGAGAGAGAGAGAAAAAAGAGGACCCTGAATGCTGGAATAATTGATGGTGATTTAACTGGTAGATATTTTTTACAGTGCTTTGCCATGGAAGCAATACTTTTCAGTGATTCTAAAAAGAATACCAGCAGCAAAACACTTTCAAGTCTCTAGAGTTCAAACTAAAATAATTCATAGGAAAATACAGTCTTTAAAGTCTTTTGTATCTTGTTAGAATGTTTCATTATGTCCACTCATATCCTGGGTGCTCAGCTATGCCATGTAATACTCATTCTGTTGTGAATTGGGAAGCAAACCTTAGAAGGTTCCTTTTAGGCTGACAGTAGAGATGGCATCAGCTAGAAATGGGCACTGCTCCTATGTCCATGGTCTCTATTTTCTTCTCATCTGTACTTTTATTTTAAAAATTAAGCTCTTGCTGGGCGTGGTGGCGCATACCTGTAAGTCCCAGCACTTGGGAGGCAGAAGCAGGCCAATTTCTGTGAGTTCAAGGCCAGCCTGGTCTACATAGTGAGTTCCAGGACATCTGGGGCTTCAGGGAGACCTTGCCTCAAAAATACAAAAAGAAAAAAAAAAAAAAGCTCTGAATTCCAAGAACATGCAACCCACCCTAAGTTTTTTTTAGCATATTTCTAGCTTCCCATTTTGATAAATTTAATGTTAAAATTTTTTATTTTTAGAAAACTTATTTGTGTGCTTTTTTAAGCTATGTATGTATCTTTGTTGAATGTGTGGAGTTGGGGAGTTTTTAAAGGAGTTTGAGCAGGAGAATTGCTGAAAGTTCAAGACCAGGCTGGGCTATATAGTGAGTGCCTGGTCAGCTTGGGCTTCATAGTAAGACCCTGTCTCAGATAAATACAAAAACAAATAAACAATACCAAACAAAATCTTGGGAAAGAAGGTTCAATATATGCAAACAAAAGTTCTTTAAAAACAGAATGGAAAGGCCAGGCACGGTGGAGCATGCCTTTAATCCCAGCAGAGGCAGGTGAATCTCTGTGAGTTTGAGGCCAGCCTGGTCTACATAGCAAGTTCCAGGCCAGCTGGGGCTACAGAGGGAAAAAAAAAGGAGAAAAATCAGTGGAATAATTCCAAAATGTAAACCCCTGCCAGTGCCTTAAATTTTCCTTTGACATAGCTAAAGAAATAAATGTCTATGTGTATTACAAACATGTACACATAGCATACATATATACTTACCTTTTCACGGTGTTTGAAATATCTTCTTGTGCCCTTGAGAACATGATTGATTATTTTTATTTTTTTATTTTATTTTGTGATGCAACCGGGGCTTCACATCATGCTAGGTAAGCACTTTACTACTGAGCTACAGTCCCAGCCTCGGTGATCATTTTTGTATTCTTCTCTTTGCTTTCCTTTGTGTTGCTTCTGTTTGGTTTTACCTGTATCTTTTATATTAGAGATTTTCGTCAGAGTATCATAATCCTCATTTGTCTAGTCCTGATTAAGAATGGAGTGAGAAACTAGGTGAGTGAGTAGGTCCTTGAGATGGGACCTTTTAGTCAGGGGGCATCCTCTGCTGTCACTACCTTTAGGTCTTCCTTTATGAGAAAACTCGATATGCTGCCTAAAATATAAAGGCCTACCACCATTATGTGTACTTTCCCTAAGGTGTGTATCTATGGGTTTGGGGCTTTTTGTCTCCTGAGTTCTTGATTGAAAGGAATGAAAGGCATAAACCACACTGTCCCACCCACCCTTAAGATTTTTGACACATAGAAGCTGGCTCACACCTTTAATCCAGCACTCTAGAGGCAGAGGCAGGTAGATCTCTGTGAGTTCAAGGCCAGCCTAGTCTACTTAGTGAGTTCCAAGCCAGCTGGGGCTACAGGGAAACCCCGTCTCAAAAAGACACCCCCCCCCAAAAATAAATAAATACATGCTGAGTGATTAGATGAATGCGCTGTGTTCTTAGCTTCTATTTAAAGAATCTTTATGTTAGCCAGGTGTGGTGGCACAGGCCTTTAATCCCAGCACTTGGGAGGCAGAGGCAGGTGGATCTCTGGGAGTTCCAGTCTAGCTGGAACTACAGGGAAACCCTGTCTCAAAAAGACAAAAAAAAAAAAAATTTTTTTTTTATGTTAGAGTTTGAAATGTCCTGTGTAACTATGCCTTCTCAGTCCAAATTCCTGCTCTTTTATACTTGGAAGAAAAGGAACTTTGCATGCTAGGCTGAGCTTCCTGCCAAAAGGAAAGACCAAGATCTGTATGGCAACTATGACCCATATTTTGGCTCTCATGCTTTCATTAGGATTAAAATGGGCAAGCTGATTGGCTTTCTCTGTGATAATAGAGCACTAGCTAGAAATTTTTTTTAAATTTTTATCATTTTTATTTTATGTGTATGAATGTGTTGCCTGAATGTGGGTAAGTCTACCTGTGTTGTGCAATGCTCCAGGATGTCAGAAGAGAGCATTGGGTCCCCAGAACTGGAGTTACAGATGGTTGGTAGCCGTCGTGTGGATGCTGGGACTTGAACCTGGGTCCTCTGCAAGAACACCCAGTATTCTTAACTGCTGAGTGATGTATCTCTCCAGCCCCTAGAAATTTCTTTTAAGAAACCTCCATAACTTTGGGCAATTCTTTTTAGTTCTGTTTTCTTTTCCTTGGAAGAAAAAAATCATTGTGAGCCAGTACACATGACTTAGATATTTGTAAAAACAGCCTCATCCTAAAGTATTTGGTATGTGCAGATTGCCACACTCTTTATTAAGTCACTCACCACAGATTGAGATATCCTACCTGTCCCCCAAATTCTGCTGCTTTAAAAGCCCATCTCTGCTGGGCGTGGTGGTGCACACCTTTAATCCCAGCACTTGGGAGGCAGAGGCAGGCAGATCTCTGTGAGTTCAAGGCCAGCTTGGTCTACATAGTGAGTTCCAGGACAGCTGGAGCCATAGGGAGACCCTGTCTCAAAAAGATCGGGGGAAAAAAAAAAAAAGCCCATTTCTTAATTTCTATTGTCCTGCATTTGTACTCTGCTAAGTGTAGATTTGTGTTAGCATCTGGGGTTTGTTAGACAGTTTGAATTGTTAGATTGGAGTTTTTCATTCATGCAAATGAAAATTCTCAGCCATTATTTCTTTAATTGCTAGCTCTGCTCAAGTTTCTCTCATGCCCTTCTGGAACTCTCAGTTCACCCAGGCTTTCCACATTTCTGAGTCCTTCTTCTATATTTGTCATTTTTTTTTTTTTTTTTTTTTTTTTTTTTTTTTGGTCCTTTTGAGACAGGGTCTCTCTATAGCCCCAGCTGGCCTGGAATTCACAGAGATTCTCCTGCCTCTCCCTCCAAAGTGCTGGGATTAAAGGCATGCACCACCATGCCTAGTTCTGGCATCTGCTTTTCTAAGTGTGACTTTCAAAACCTAACTTCAAGTTGCTGGATTGCCTTAGGGCAATCAGGATCTAATGTTAACTTGTTTTCCCAGCCTCTTTTCCTCCTCTCTCTGGTCATCCTTGAGTTCTCTGATCATCCTTGGGTTCCTTCCATTTTCCAGCCATAGCTTACCCCCATGGGGCTCTTACCTAGTTTCTTGACTTTTTTTTCTTTTTCCTTTTTGGAGACAGGGTCTCCCTGGAGCCACAGCTGTCCTAGAGCTCACTAGGTAGACCAGACTGACCTTGAAACTCACAGAGATCCACCTGCCTCTGCCTCCCAAGCGCTGGGATTAAAGGCATACACCACCATTCCAGGCCTAGTTTCTTGACTTTTATTACTACATCCAGTCTGACTATATCCTGGAGCACTATTTCCAGGCCAGACCATTCTCTAGATCTCCCCTCAGTCATCTACCTACAGTACATATCCAATTGGAGCTTTGACTAGTGATTGCAAACTAACATGCCCCCTAAAATGCCTAGACTTCTGCCTCCAGCTTCCTATTTTAGTTAGTGGCTATTAGACTTTCATAGCTGTCCTAGCTCAAGTCTTGGTTCATAATGGATGTTGTTCTGCTTTCCTCATATCCCACATCCATGCCAAGAAACCCTTCTGGATCTAATTAAAGGCCTATAATCTTATCTCCTCCACTGCCATCCCCCTGGTCCCTGCCACTGTTCTTACCCACCTGAGTCATTGCAGTAGTATGCCAACTGGCTTTTGTCCTGCTTTAGCTCTCATACATGTGTGCTTGAAAGTCAGGATGTCCTTTCTCTGCCCCAAATCTCCTGTGACTTCCCATCTCACTCAGAATAAAGGTCTTATTCAGAACAAAGGACACACACGTGCATCCCTGACCTGCTCACTTGCTCTGTCTCTTCAGCAACACTCATTTCCTTCCTGGAGTTAATGTTCCAGGTTGTCTTCTGCCCTCTCTACCTTGAATTTTCATACCCTCATGTATACCAGTTGTGTGAGCAAGTGAACCTCTTAGTAAAGTCCTTCCTGATGGCCATGTTTCAGATCACTTGTCTTCTTCACCTTGTGACTTTATTGTTTTTGAGGATCATAATGTTAACATTAAAGCAGCTGGGTGCTCTGCTTTCTTCTTAATCCTTTATGTATGCACTTTGTGTGCAGTTAATGCTTAGGCATACATTTGCCACCTTTTTTTTTTTTTCTAGTACTGAGGTTGAACCGAAGGCCTCACAAATACTACACAAGCACTCTACCACTGAGCTTCATCTCCAGTCCCTCTTTTCTTTTTTATTTTGGGACAGTATCTCTCTAGTAGCTCAGACTGGCCTTAAACTTCCTCTGTAGCACAGGCCAGCCTTGAACTTGTGATCTATTAGGACTGTGCGTCCAGGCTCACCTTTGCTACCTTTATTATCTTCATTTAGCTGATGAGAAAACCTAGCTACAGAAAGGTTAAGCATTTTTCCCTAAGGTCACATATCCAAGTAGGTGGTAGCCACACTGACTTAAAAACTGTGCTATTAATATAACTGATTGTATTTCATGCTATGTATCTTGAGCCTCTGTTTTCTTTGAAGATTTTATATTTTTTACTCATTTTGCTTACTGGGAGCCTGCCTATATCTGTTACTAGCATCCCTGTCCAAATATCATCTTCAGGAAGACAGAATTTGTGTGTGTCGGGGCGGGGGTTGGTCTTATTGATACAGAGTCTTCCTGTAGCCCCAGCTGTCCTGGAACTCTCTTTGTAGACCAGGCTGGCCTTGAACTCACAGAGATCTGCCTGCCTCTGCCTCCTGAGTGCTGGGATTAAAGGCATGTGCCACCACACTCGGTTGCTTTGTTTATTGTGTCTCTAGAACTTGGGACACTATGTACTCCATCTACTTAGTATTTGTTGAAGAGATCTTAAAGTAAAGTGTGTGTGTGTGTGTGTGTGTGTAGATTAATACTCAGTTTTTTTTTTTTTTGAGACAGTAACACATGCAGGCCTTGAGATCCTCCAATCTCAGTCTACTAAGCAAGGTTATAGGTATGAATCACTGGGCCCCACAATTTGGAACTTTTGTTTGTTTTTTTTGAGGCAGTCTTGCTGAAGCCCACTCTGGCCTTGGTCTCACAAAGACCTGCCTGTCTTTGCCTCTTGAGTGCTTGGATTAAAGGTATGTACCACCATGCTCTGCAATTTCATACATTTTTAAAAAAAGAAAATTTTAAAGAAATTATTTTAAGTTTATACGTGTGTGTGTTTTTGTGTGAATATATGCCGTGTGTGTGGGTGCCCAAGGAGACCATAAGAGGGCATCAGATTTCCTGGAGCTGAAATAACAGGCAGTTGTTAGCTGCCTGATGTGCATGCTGGGATCTGAGCTTCCATCCCCTCTGGAAGAGCAGCAAGTGTTCTTAGCCACCGAGCAGTCTCTTCAGTTCCTACCCCACAGGATGGATTACATTTATTATTATTTTTTATTTGTGGATATGTTGAGGTGGGGCTATACATGCCACAGGATGCATGCATGTCCAGTTTTTCCAACCACTTGGAAAACTGTCACTGTATTATATATACATAAGTCCTAAATGTTTTTAGGCCTTTTTCTGATTTTTCATTCTGATTCATTAATTTTTTTTTTTTTTTTTTTGCCTTTTTTTTTTGAGGCAGGGTCTCCCTGTAGCCCCAGCTGTCCTGGAACTCACTATGTAGACCAGGCTGGCCTTGAACTCACAAAGATCCACCTGCCTCTGCCTCCCAAGTGCTGGGACTAAAGGCGTGCGCTACCATGCCTGGCTCATTAAATTTTTTAAATTATTATTTTTTTATCTCTTTGAGACAGGGTCTCCCTGTAACCCCAGCTGGCCTGGAACTCACTGTGTAGACCAGACTGGACTTGAACTCACAGAGATCCACCTGCCTCTGCTTCCCAAGTGCTGGGATTAAAGGTGTGTGCCACCACACCTGGCTAATTTATTTTTATTTTATGTGTATGAGTATTTTTGCTGGCATGTATATAAGTGCACCCCATGTGTGTGCAATGCCTTCGGAGGTCAGAAGAGGGCATAGGATCTCCTGGAACTGGAGTTATGGATGGTTGTTAGTGGCCATGTGGGTGCTGGGTAGGGTGCCACGTCCCCTACCCAAGCAGCCAGTGTTCTTACTTGAGCACTGAGCCATCTCTCCAGCCCGTTCCTTTAGTTTTGTGCTCACACTTGTGTCAATGCTACACATTTTAATTACTGAAGTTTTAAAGTGTATGTTTTAATACCTGGTGAATCATCTCTTTCCCAAGAAATCTAATTTTTCCGTGTGAATTTAGCATCACATTTTTCTGTTGCAGGGGAAATCAGCAGTGGCCATTTTTGTTGAAATTGATTTCAATTTCAATAAATTAGCATAATGACTGTTTAGAAGGGTTCCTCATAAGAACATAATATGTCTTTCCATTTATCTATCGTTTTGTTTTTTGTTTTGTTTTCTTTTTTGTCTTTTTGATACAGGGTCTCCCTGTAGCCCCAGCTGGCCTGGAACTTGCTATGTAGACCAGGCTGGCCTTGAATTCACAGGAGATCCGCCTGCCTCTGCCTCTGGAATGCTGGGACTAAAGGTGTGGGCCACTGTGCCCAGCTTCCATTTATTTAGAAGTTTTATTGCTTTACCACATAATTTATGGCACTAAAAACTTTATCCATGTATAAAATCTGCCTTTAGAGAAAAAAATATCCTAAATTATTCAATGTACTGTTCCTATAGTCCTAGTGGCAGCTTAATTCTTACTGTAATGGACACTTTGGCATCATCATATGTGAGTGGTCACTCTAAGCCTCAATAAGAGATATACTCATTCCCAGAGCCTTCGAGGCTTCTTGGAAAATTTACCCTGGTTTATCTGATGTAGACTACCAGATGACCCTTACCTACAAGGCTATACTCATACTTATGCCATTACTTCACAATTGAACTTAACTGTTTTGATGGCAAACTTTAGCATCTTTGTGTGCATAGTAATGAGACAGAGACAGGATATCAGCAACTGCTGCTCTTTCCACATGTGCTTATAAGTTGAAGAGCCCAATCTATGGTCAGATCTTTAATAAAAGTCTTGAATTCTTATATATTACAGAATTTCACAAACTTGTTTGGACAACCACTAGTCTGCTTGCTTTCTCCTACTGCATATCCAAAAGCTTTACAAGGTATGTTCCCTCAGGGCCTGCTACACTAATAGATCTTGAATGAAAAAGTATTGGTCTTTGTTTCACCTCCCTTCATGATTAGGTGTGTATATGTGGTATTCAAGTGGTAAGTGTCGATCTGAAATAGACCCGGAAGCCTTGCCAACAACTAGGCTTCTCAATATGCTACTATTAGGCCTAAGTTAGCTCATTTCTGAGAATGAGTTGGTTTGACCCCTTGCTGTTAGAGAGTTCCTGATTTTTACATTTGAAAATTGGTTTTGCAGGTGTATAGCACTGTTTTCTATATCTTTATGTATTTTAGGCGTCTTTAAAGACCATAAGATTGCTGGTCTAGGAAACTTCTCAACCTATGCCTAAGAGCTAGGATAATCTGGCACAACTTAAGGGGGCATCTTTCTTTTCTTTTTTTCTTCAAAGTTTTATCTTGTATTTTTTTAAATAAAAGAGCCTCTTCTGAGGCTGGGCTTGATAGTGCACACCTTTAATCCCAGCATTCAAGAAGTAGAGGCAGTCAGATCTCTATGAATTCGAAGTAGCCTGGTCTACATATCCAGTTCCAGGCCAGCCAGAGATACATAGACTCTGTCTCAGCAAATAAAGAACCTCTTCCAAATCCACCAGAAGGACAAATTTATTTGGGCCATTTCTCCAGTGGCTACGAATGGGAAGCCGTTTGCCCTTAGTGATTTGTCCTTAATAGGTAACACATAAAATCTAATTCTAATTCCCAGTGATTTCCTAGGTAAAATGCTAAGTGAACCTTCACACTGTCTTAGCAGACTTGTCACTGTTTCACTATCTCCCTGACTGTGAATAGTGCTGATGTCTCTCTGTGGGAGATGGCATTTTACTGCTACTTCCCAGCCTGAAGTCCTGTCTGCTGACATAGTTTGACACAGGAAGTGATGGTCAGCATTTGAATGCCTGAGAGAAGCTGGAGACTTTCACCGTTGTTTTAAGGTAAGTTCTGCTGTTTAACAGGGAAAATCTTGTAGCAACACTAAGTTCATATAGCCAAATGCCAAAATCCTAAGGGATAGAACTTACCTTCAAACAACGGTAAAATTCTCCTGCTTTGAGGATTTTGTCATCCTGCTGCTTATCGTTTCTGGAGGAATGTAGCTTCTTTCCACTCCTAGAGTGCTGTCTTCATCATGTCCTAATGTAGCTTTATTAAAACTACATGTTCAAATAGGCCCGTACCAAGATTATTTGGTCTGAAAGATTTCATTGTGTGGAGGAAGAAAATACAGACTTAACTGAATTTGAATCGTAACTTAGCCACTTGTTAGCTGTGTGACCTTGGAAAGCTATTCAATCATTCTGTGCTTCAGCTAATCATCTAGCAAGAGATACTAGAATAAACTACCTACCTTGTAACATAGTGTCAGGTACCTAGGAAGTCCTCCCACTAATGTTAATATGTGTAGATTTGATGCATGTCCTTCACATTTTTTGCCCTAGCATCCTATATACTGTAAAGCTTAGATTGCAGATACTTTTAAATGAATTATTCAACCACCTAGACAGATTCAAATTTCTATTATGAAAAGCATTTAGGATTGTATTCAGTAGCATTGTTGCTAGTAAACACTCTGCAAAACGGGTTGACACTCTGGGCAAAAAGTAGTAGATACATTAGTAATTTGAGCACTAGATAAGGTTCCTACACTTTTGGTGTCTAAAGCCTGTAGTTTTATCATTAGCCAAGACTTGCGTTACTCATTCAGCACACACTTCTTTAATGTTTATTTACCAGGCGTTGTGCTAGGCACTGGGGACTGCATTGGACCTGATAATACGCTTGTGTTTCTCATAGAGCCAGTGTCTAGTAGAAGATAGTGGTGACCTAATGGGCAGCACTGTACGTGCTACGAGAGCATCCCAGGAGAAAGCATTCGAACGCAAACACGGAACTGCTCATGAGCACATAGGAGTGAAGCAAGGGGAAGAGATGATTTCCACAGTGGACTTCCCGGGCATGGAGAATTGGATGGAGAGGGGAATGCTGAACAGGAGTGTCCAAGCAGGGAAATTATATGTGCTATGGCCCTGAGTTTGTGAAATACTTAGAGAAGTTAAGACAGTGCCTCTTGTTGAAGGGTAGAGTTTGGGTTGTGTGTTTGAATGATGAAAATCCTTTTAAGGATTTGTGGTGTGATTTGAGTCAAACAATGGGGCATCAGTGCAAGATTTTAAACAGAGGATAATCAGTTAACCTCACTGAAAATGAATTGGAGCGGGCACTGAGGGAAATGGGGAGATGATGGTGGCCAGACCTCAACAGTGATTGAATGCTAAGCCCACTGAGGCTGCAGGACTTGGGGGCAGAGAGAGCAAGAGGGCAGGAATGGACATACGGGTCTCTGGCTCAGGGGTTGGTAGAAATACTGAGACTCATTGAGGACTAAAGGGGAAAGCTTTGGCTTTCAAATGTTTCATGTTGAGCTCAAGGTCTTCTGAGGGTAGAGTTGACTGTAGGAGTCTAGAGGAATGCAGTGCATTGGGAGATATAGGACAAGAGCAGCGCAGTGCATTGATACAGGATGAGCTGTGGAGCTGATTTAAGGTTTTCTAGGAGCCACATTTCAAATAAAGCTGGTGAAGTGGGTGTTAACAGGATGCCTTTTTGCACTAAATCTTTGAAATCTGATATGAATTCATACTGTGTCTCAGTTTTGAGCAGTCATAGCCTTTGTGTTTAAATAGATCATAGGACATCAACAGAGCTGGAACTAAAGAATTCAGTCTTAGTTCTAGAAAATTCGGGATCAGTGAACATATGAGTGGCAACTAACATCTTAAAGAGTCAGTGAGGTCAGCAGTGCAAAGCACCAAGAAAGAAAATGTTGATCTCTTAAGAACCAAGCAAAGTGCTTGGTGCTTAGTATTGGCATACCTGTAATTTTACACTTGGGAGGTGGAGAGGCAGGAAAATTAGGAGTTTGGTATCATCTTGAACTACATCTTGAGTTTAAGACCACTCTGAGTTACTTAAGACCCTGTCTAAAAATGAACTGGGGAGGAGAGACAGAGAAAGGGCAACTTACAAAGGAGAACAAAAAAGACTAGTGTTCGTGAGACTCCCACATGGACACTCCATGAACTAGCACTTGATGTATTATTTAGTTGGAAGTTAAAATAATGAGTGTGTTTACTTCTCTTTCCTTTTAAGTGAACTAGGTTCTATTTTAATTTTATTCAGCAGAAAGCAGTAGGCCCAGAATGTGTTTTTATAACTTCATGAAAACTTTATGCTGTTGAATTGTTATTTAATGATGCAGCTTAATTTTATAAACTATCAGTATATTAAAATACTCCTCATGTCTTGTTAACTTTTGCAGAACTGTTGTCTATATATAACATGTTTGTTATTACAGATCAATCTCAACGAGGTAGCCTCTTCACTCTCTTTTTGAACAATCCTCTAATGGCCTTCCTGTTTGTCTCCGGATTGTCAAGCATGCGTAGAGGCCTATGGGAAAAGTGTCAAGAATATCTCCGAAAAATCAACCGTGATATCGCCCAGCTACTGACCCATTCACGTTCAATAGGTATCCTACTGATCTAACTGCACCCTTAAAAAAAAACATACTATAATGACTTACAGTGGCATCTACTTTAAATTGTTTGGGCCTTTTAAAGGTACCTGTCCCAGATAAGAAAGTCCCGAACACTTTCCTGAACTTTGTTTCCCTTTGAAGTGTCATTTTTATGTTGTCTCCTTTTCTGTGCCCTTCTCCTCTACAGATCAGGCATTTCTCCAGTTTTTTGGAGATGAATTTCTTCGCTTGCTTCTCACAAGATTTATCTTTTGTTCAGCCACCATGAGGATGCACAAGATTTTTCGGGTAAGTAGACAATATTAATAAAGACCAAGTTTGCCTTTTTAATTAATTTAAAGAATCATTTTATATGTTTTACTTAAGTTTAAATAGATCCACAATAATGTTTAGAAGTAAATATGTACAGAATAAAGATTAATAATATTGTGGGTATGTGGCACATGCCGACAATCCTAGTACTCATGAGGCTGGGCCAGGAATATTGAGTTCAAGGTCAGCCTTGAATACTGTGGGAAAGCAAACATATAGGAAAATGAATAACAATATTGTGACACCTGTAGCTTCCATCCTGTTAGGACCGTTTTCGTGATCTGGGCATGCTGGCTGCTGCCTGTAATCCCAGCAATAAGAGGCTGAGGCAGGGTGCTGGAGAGATGGCTCAGTGGTTAAGAACACTGGTTGTTCTTGCAGAAGACCCGAGTTCGAATCCCAGCACCCACATGGAAGCTAACAACTGTCCGTAACTCCAGTTCCAGGGGATCCAACAGCCTCTTCTGTCCTCCGACAGCATTGCATGACATTGGAGCACGTACCTATATGCAGGCAATACATGCATACATATAAAATAAAATAATAAAAATTAAAAAGAGGTTGAGGCAGAAGTTCAAGGTCATCTTTGGCTAAGTTAGTGAGTTCAAGACCAGTCTGGGATATATAAGACCTCTGTGTTTAGAAAACAAGAGAGATGCTCGTTACCTTTGAGGACCTTCCTAATCTATGGCATCAAATGCAACTCGTTTCCTGAATTTTAGGATTATTTGACTTTTATTAAAACCTTGTCATTTTTATTTCTATTTCTAATATATTGATTAATCTATATGACTTTTTTTTTTGTGTGTGTGTGTGTTTTTGAGACAGGGTCTTCCTGTAGCCCCAGCTGTCTTGGAACTCACTATGTAGACCAGGCTAGCTTTGAACTCAGAGATCCTCCTGCCTCTGCCTCCCAAGTGCTGGGATTAAAGGCTTGCGCCACCACACCCAGCTTGTATGGCTTTTTTTAAGCAATAGTGTTTTGAGAGGTGGGAATGTAGCTCAGTGGTAGAATGCCTGCCTAGTATCTACGCACAGTGCCCTGCTTTCAATTGGTAATACCACTTGAAAACAATTTAAATGTAATATACCTATACTAATACACATTGTATGTATATATGAAATGTGTTCTAGTTTGTTTCTCCATTGTGATGACAAAATACACTGACCAATACCAACTTGGGGAGGAAAGAGTTTACTTGGCTTACATCTTCCAGGTCGTAGTTAATCACTGAGTGAGCCCAAGTTATGAGCTCAGGGCAAGAACCTGGAAGCAGGAGCTGAAGCACAGGTCATGGAGGAACGCTGCTTACTGGCTTGCTCCCCTGGCCCCTGCTCATCCTGATTTCTTATACAACATAAGCCCACCTGCCTGGAGGTGGCCTCACCTACAGTGGCCTGGGCCATTCCACATCACTCAGTAATCAAGAAGATGCCCCACAGACATGGCCACAGGCTAGTCCAGTGGAGGCAATTCACCAGTTGTGGCTCCCTCTACCCAGGTGTGTCAAGTTGACAACTAAATCTATCCAGCACAAAATGTTTTTGCAGGTGAGCAATGTTAATTATGGCTTTCATTCTTTAATTTTGCATGACATAAGGTATTGTTTGTCTCTGTCACAATTTTGCATTCTACCCATAATGGAAATTTGGATTGCTTCCAGGTATTTATTATTTTATAAATGATGCCACTCTAAAATTCTTTTTTAAAAATATTTATCGGTATTTATTTATATGTATTGTTTGGCTTGCATGTGTATAAGTGCTCCCATGTCATGAAATGCCCTTGGAGGTAGAAGAGGGCATTAGATCCCTTGGAACTGGAGTTAAGGATGGTTGTTAGCCGCCATGTGGGTACTGGGAACTAAATCTAGGTCTTTTGCAAGAGCAGCCAGTGCTCTTAATTGCTGAGCTATCTCTCTAGGCCCCACTATAAAATTCTTATATGAGTTTCTTGGTGCACATGTATAAGATTTTCTCTTTGGAATATACCTAACAGTGAATGTGCAAAGCCAGAGTATATAAGCATATTTAACTTAAGTATGTAATACCAGACTGTTTCTAACCTGGTCCCTCACTTTGCATCCATACCAGCAATGTGTAAGAACTGCTACTCCTTGTTGAAGCCATTTTTTGGTTTTGATTTTTGTGAGTCAGATGAGTATAAAGTAGTAGTCACTGTCATTTTAATTTTCACTTCCACAATTGCTGTTGAAGTTGAGCATCTGCTCACACACAAACTTTCCTCAGTGTGCTCCATGAGGGATGTGCAAGTCTTTGTTCTCTCATTTGTGTCTCTGAATTTATAGATTTACTCAGCACCCTTCATTGTGATTTTTTTTTTTTTTTTTTTAGTGATATCCATTACATTTTGTTCCTGGGAGGGAGTGGTGGCACACGCCTTTAATCCCAGCACTCAGGAGGCAGAGGCAGACGGATCTCTATGAGTTCCAGGACAGCCTGGTTTACATAGTGAGTTCCAGGCCAGCTGGGGCTACAGGGAGACCCTGTCTCAAAAAGACCCCCCCCAAAAAAAAAGAAATATTTTTTTCTTTTTCAACTATTTTGGCTGGGTGTGGTGGCACACACCTTTAATCCCAGCACTCTGGAGGCTGAGGCAGGCAGATCTCTGTGAGTTCCAGGCCAGCCTAGCCTGGTCTACATAGTGAGTTCCAGGCCAGCTGGGGCTACAAGGAGACCTTGTATCAAAAAAGACCAAAAAAATGCCTTTCTTGCTAGGCCTGGTGATGCATGCCTTTAATCTCAGTACTCAGGAGGCTGAGGCAGAGGGATCTCTCTGAGATGGAGTCCAGGTTGGTCTATATATCAAGTTCCAGGCAAGCTGGGGCTGCAGGAAGACCCTGTCTCAAGAAAAAAAGCCCTTTTCAACTTCTAGTTTCAAAGTGTTTGTTTCCATGTTGCTTTTGTATATTTGGCAGTAGTTTCACTATGTAGTTTCAGCTGGCTTTGAACTTTTCAACCTTCCTGCCTCAACCTCCTGAATGTTAAAATTACAGGTGTGCTCCACTATCGTGACTGTTTTTTTTTTGGCAAGGTGGGGTATTTTTTTAGTGAATTTTTGCAGTTTTCATGTAATTTGATGGTATTTAGATCCCCTCTAATGCCCCTCCTGCCCAATTTAATGTACTTTAGTGTTTGTGTGTGTGTATAGCATCTGATTCGTGTCTCCAAATGTCCTTCACTTTGGGTTCATCCTCTGGAGCATGTTTAACCTACCAAGAATCTCATGCTTGAAAGAGACTGTCTGCCCCTCCCAGCACCCACCTGTTGCACAATTTCCTTAGGTGGGGTTGGAGCTTCTTACCCACTTCCTCATGTCTGTGCTGGGATTTTTTTCCTGGGATATATATATATATATATATATATGTATATATATATATGTATATGTATATATATATTTTTTAAGAGAAACATGCATACAGCAAAATGCAAAAAAACTGAAAATACAGCTTTTGGTGTACATGAGTTACTATGTAACTCAAACCTCTATTAAGTCACAGAACAGCATCAATCCAAAACATTTCCTTCCTAACCCTTTCTAGTGAGTCTACAACCCACTTCCTTGTTCACTGTATATTAGTAATACCTTATCATAAATTTGAATCACATTGGATGGAATCGTTCATAAAGCTTTTACTAAGATATGTCCATTTTGTTTCATGCATCAGTAGTTTATTCCTTTTTGGTACTAAGTAGTATTCCATTGTTCTCATGTTGATAAGTACCTGGGCAGTTTTAAATCGTTAGCTATTATTAAATAAAACTGCTCATTATAAATAGAAGAGCTTAAATAAGTCTCTGCACACATACATTTTGACTTTTTAAAAATTTCCTCCACATATAGTAAGAGAACTTTCTTTCAATAGAAATACCTTCTTTTATGCTGCCCACCACTAGAAAGCAGTTTCATGGATAAAAGACAGTCTTTATCTAGATTTATTCTTCTTGGCCACCTTTAACTTTTTCCAGCATATGGCAACAGAAGGTGTTTTTGGCAGGAGAGTCAGCATCCTGCTTCTGTTCTGCTCCCTTGTCCTCTCCAGAGTCAAGACCCAAAGTATCTCCTTCTGTCACTCTGCTGTCTTCCTTGATTTCCCCATCTAGTGTGAGTTCAGCTTTGTGGAATGCATCCTCTCCTTGAAGCCCACTTGCTCCTCCTACCTTTGCTGTTTTCTTGGCAGTGGGTTGACATGTGTTCATTTCTAGAAACCACCAAGCCTCTTCTCAGAGCAGGTGCACCAATTTATATTCCCACCACGGTGTAGGAAAGTTGTTCTGTGTCCTTGTGCTCACTGGGTGCTGTGAGACTTAAATTCTGGCAATCATGGTGGCAGGTTGGGAGATCCCCTTGCAGTTCAGTGTCATCTCTCTCACCAGTAGTGATTGGGGACATCTTTTCATGTGTTCATTGACTATACTGTCTCTTCTTTTGTGTTTTTTTAACAGTAGCTTTTGAAGACTAAGCTTTTTAAATATTGATGAAATTCAACTAATTTTTGTGTGCGTGTTGTGGTTTGTGTTTTTATCAGTTAGTAAGAAATCTTTGCCTGTCCTAAGTTTACAAATGGTCTTTTTGAGACCGGGTCTCCCTGTAGCCCCAGCTGACTTAGAATTCACTATTCAGGCTGGCCTTGAACTCAGAGATGCATCTGCCTCTGCTTCTGCCTTAGTGTTGGGACTAAAGGCAGGTGCCACCACACCTGGCTCTTGATCTGTTTTTAGTTACAATGTGAGGTGAGGGTTAAAGTTTATTTTAATATGGATAAGCCATTTTCATAAGTTCAGTATTTATCTTCATGAAGATTGCATTTGCCAGGAGTGGTGGCAGGATTATAATCCGAGCACTCAGGACATGAGATACAAGAGTTGCAAGTTTGAGGCCTCTCAGGGTTACACATTGAGATCCTGTGTCAACACCTCCTTCCATAGCAACAAAAGGATATCAGTGTTTACATAAACTCTTTAAATCTTTTTCCCATAGGGCCTTGAGGATGCTAGGTAAGCACTCTTAACAGGACACCAAGCATAAATCTGCTATTGAGATATAGCCCTGAATTTTTGGTTTCTAGTTATAGGGAAGTTGTGTCTGTATTACTGTATTTTCTCAAATAACATATACTTAAAACATCTAACTTTTATAGCCAGGCTTGGTCGTACATGCCTTTAGTCCCAGCACTTGGGAGACAGAGGCAGACAAATCTCTGTGAGTTCAAGGCCAGCCTGGTCTGCAAAGTGAGTTCCAGACCAGGTGGGGCTACAGGGAAACCCTGTGCCAAAAAAAAAAAAAAACAAAAAAAAAAACACCTAACTTTTACACTGTCTCCAGATTATGTCTCCCACCTCCTTTTTTCTCTCAGCTGCTTCTAGCTTCTTTTAAATCATCTGTTCCTGAAAGCTTAGTCTCTTATTAAGTTAATTTTTTGGTTAGCATACAAAGAGGTTTCATTGTGAGTATATTTTCATACATATATATCATTGTATTTCTTTCTTATTCACCCCTACTCCCTTTTCTGTCCCCCTCTGTCCCTCTTCCTGGTCCCCTTTCACAAAATAGTCCTCCTTCTGTTAGCACACATGCTCCATTACCCTTTCTGCCCCTTCTCCCTCCTATTAGCTGTCTTCCTCCCATCTCATAGATTCCTTTGTACTGTTCATATAGAAAAGGTGTATATAAAGTTAAATGTAGGTTCCTCATATGGGAGAAATCATGGCACTTATCTTTGAGTCTGGCTTATTTTGTTTAACAAAATGATTTCCTGTTCTACCCATTTTCCTGCAAATACAGTAATTTCATTCTTTTTGTGACAGAGTCTCACTACGTAGCTCTGACTGGCCTGGAACTCACTGTGTAGACGAGACTGGCCTCAAATTCACAGAGACCTGCTTCCTTGGTCTCTTTGTGGTTTCCCACATTTCCTACATATTCCATTCCTGTGTTTTTAAATTTTTTTTCATTATCTTTGCTTCAGCAGTCCAGTTCTTCAACTCTATCCTCCAGTGTTCATACTCTGTTTTCCATTTCATTCATTCTATCGGTGAGGCTTTTTCCTGTTGTTTCAGTTTAGCTTATCGAGTTTTTCACTTCTTCATTTCAGCCTGAGTTTTCTTCAGTGTTTCTATCTCTTGTGAATTCAGTCAGAAGTTTATCACTGTCTTCTTTTAGTTCTTTGATTTGTTTGTGTGTTCTTTAAATTTGTTGAATTTTTTGATCATGTTTATGAATGTTCTTTTAAATTCTGTGTCCTGGGTTATTGCTAGGGGCTTCTTGTAGAACTGTTCTACAGGACTGGTGGAGTTTGGTGGGAACACTGTTTTGGTTTTCCATATTATTATTTTTCCATTGTGATTTTGGATGTGGATTTCTTTTATTGTTTGTGATTCTGGTTTGAAATTCAAGCCTTGTTGAGTTGAAGTTTGCTTCTGTTTGTATTATTGATGTGCCTTGGTTGTTTTTTATTGGGTATGTAAGTCTGGTTGGTCTAGGTTTCAGGTTCTCTTTGATTTTATTTTGGAGGGAACTAGTGGCTTCAGATCAGCTACTCAGGAGCTCTCACAGAGGCGCAAGTCAGGTTCCAATCAGGTGCACTTGGGTGTCCTTCTAATGTTTGGACCCCCTACTAGTGGGTATTCACAACACAATTTGGGAAGTTCGCTAAGGGGAGGCCTAATTTTGGCACACTCAGGCAGTCTGCTAAGGTCTCAGCCCCTACTGTAGGGCAGAAAATTCTAGCCCTGGCAAAGTGGGAGGGGCCTCACTCACATGGTCGCTATTAGGGGCTTGGGCAGGGTACAATTTGGAGAGGCTCACCACCACATGGAGGCCAGATCCAGTCACTCTCAGGTGGTCTGCTAAGGTCTCAGCACTTATTGTAGGGCAGAGAGGTCTGCCCTTGGCGAAGTGGGAGGAGCCTCACATAATCCCAATTAGGGGGTTGGGCTTGGCAGGATTTGGGGAAAGTCTGTACCACCCTAAGGCAGGATCCCTGTGCTCTCAGGTGGTCTGCTAAAATCTCAATCCCTAATCTATTGTAGGACAGAGAGGTCTACCCCTGGGGATATGGGAGGGGCCTCAAGCAATCCCAATTAGGGGATTGGGTATAGCACAATTTGGGGAAGCTGGTCACCAAGAGGAGGCCAGATCCAGGCACTCTCAGGCCTTCTGCTGAGGTCTCAGGTTCTACACCAGGCAGAGGCCAGTTCCAGGCACTCCAGGCCATCTGCTAAGGTCTCAGCTCTTACCCTACTGCTGTAGGGCAAGGAGGTCTGACCCTGGCAAAGTGGGAGGGTCCTCACATAATTCCAGTTAGGGGGTTGGGTAAAGGCGATTTGGGGAAGCTCAGCAGAGGCCTGATCCAGGCATTCTCAGGCAGTCTACCCATTTGTTAATTCTTAGGATTAGTTTCTGCTGCTGGAGTCCTTTTGAGAAAGTTCTTATGTGTTCCCTATCTTAGAGTGTTTGCCTATATTTTTCTCCAGCATTTTCGGAATTTCAGGTCTTACATTAAGATTTTTTAAGCCATTTTGAACTATTTTTTTGTGTGGGGTCAGACAGATAGATTTAGTTTCATTCTTTTCCAAGTGGGTATTAAGTTTTCCCAACACCATTTGTTGAAGCAGATTTTTTTGCTACTGTAGCCTTTGTATTTTGCCAAAGGTTAGGTGGTTGTAGCTGTGTGGGTTTCTTTATGGGTTCTCTGTTCCATTGGTCTACCTTGTCTAGTCCACCTGCCAGTTCCATACTCTTTCTGGTGTTAAGGCTCTCTAGTGTAATTTGAAGTCAAATCTTGTGATGCTCCCAGTATTGTTTTTTTCTACATAGGATTGCTTTGGCTGTTCAAGGTCTTTGTCCATATTTCATAGGCATTTTAACACCTCTTTGTCCTATATTAATTACTGAGGCCCTCTGACTTGACCTTCTGTTATTGTTTTTTTCCCCTTATTTTGAGTTCTACTGCAATATGCATTTATTCACACAATGAATATTTGTTGAAATTTCATATGTGGATCCCAGTCAATCAGAAGGATTTGTATCATCTTCAGCAAGTGATACAGAGCACAGGCCTAACAGCCCCAGAGGTTAGCAAATGTGTGTGAAACGTTCACTGTGGAAATATGTTAAGTTGACCCATATGAAGCTATTGTTGAAGTTAAAATTGTCATTTGTTAGTAATTCAGTAAAGATAGTAGCTGGATATGTGGGCAGACTGTAATCCCAGCACTTGGACGGTGAAGCATGAACATTGCCACGTATTTGTGGCCAGCCTGGGCTATATAACAAGACTCAAAAAACAGAAATAAGAAATCCCAAGCCACAGAAAACAGCAAATATATTAACAATAATAACCAATGTGAGAAGGTAATGAAGAAAAAAAGAGCCAAGCATGGTGGTGCATGCCTTTAATCCCAGCACTGGCAGGTGGATCTCTGTGAGTTCAAGGCCAGCCTGGTCTACATAGTGAGTTCCAGGACAGCTGGGGTTACAGGGAGACCCTGTCTCAAAAAGACTTAAAAAAAAGAGAGAAGGAAATGAATTTTTAGCTGCTCCTTAGCACTCTGTCAGAATGTATAATTTCCTACCTTTGGACTGTAAAGTGTGATTTTTCTTCTTTATCAGGAAACTCGAAATTACCCAGAATCCTATCCACAGCTGCCAAGGGATGAAACGGTGGAGAACCCGCATCTTCAGAAGCACATTTTGGAATTGGCCTCCATCCTGGATGTGCGGAACGTCTTTTTTGAAAATACTATGGATGACTATTAAGGAAAAAACCCTCTTGTTGAAACAGTTTTTCATTTTCCTCAGATTTTAAATGGTGCAGTTTTCTAATGTCATGACAGAGACATAGTGTGTTACTTAGTTTTTATTTTTAAATTTAGGACCGCCATTTTAAAACTGAAAAAATAATCGTTCAAACTTTTAGGGTAACTTTTAAAATACAATCTTTCAAGTCTTTTGAAATCTCAATCTTGAAATTTTTAGTTTTTGGTTTTGACATTGGATACTTACCTCCAACATCTAATCCTACACTGAAATAGTCACTATTCTCACCATAAGAAGAATAAATCATTTATTTTTTCCTGAGGAAAATCCAACAGTTCTACTTGGACCTTTAAATACTGATTTGGGAATATTAATTGTTCATAAGTGAGACTAGACATATGAACTCCTGAAAATCAAGAATGCAGTCCTGTCTGATGTTTCCATTCATTCCAAGTTGATAGGTGGGAAAATGAGTGACTCTGAGGTACAAAGAGATTTATTGAAATCATTGAATTCCTTTAAGTGCTGTCAAATTTTTAGAATCTGTTGAGGAGTGATTGACATCTGGAAATTAAGTCTTTAATTGGAACTTTGAGGTGATAAATATTTGGAATGTGAGTACTGTATTATCATGAGGTCTGTTTGCATATTTTCTTTGTAGTCCTTGAATGCTGGAGATGCAAAGGAAAATACTTTTTAAATATTTCATCCAAAAGTCAGGTGATTTCATATTACAGGGTCTCCTGTAGAAATTCTCCTTCAACACTTTTTATTTTTTTTAATTTTTTTTAATTTTTGGTCTTTTTGAGACAGGGTCTCCCTGTAGCCCCAGCTGGCCTGGAACTTGCTATGTAGACCAGGCTGGCCTTGAACTCACAGAGATCCACCTGCCTCTGCCTCCCATGTGCTGGGATTAAAGGCGTGCGCCACCACACCCGGCAACACTTTCTTAATGAGATAAAGTTTCAAGAGTGTCTTGATTGTGTCTTGGTATACCTATCACACAACTTCTAACACTTTTGCCAAGTTCACATTCCTAAGACAACATGTTAGAGGTACTGTTAATGTTAGCTGAGGATAACTGGTGAAATAGAAGTAAAATGTGAGTTGATTTTGTTTTTATAATTTGGAAATATGTTAAAACTCCCTGAATTTAGTTATTTTATATTTATGTATAGTTTTTATTATTTTAAATAGGACACAGTATATAATATAAAGATTTTGTGTATTATTCTCCTTCATAATCTCACAGGTACTAGGTATGATGTTTTCTCTACAACCTCAACCCCTTTGGTTGCATGGCATTTAAGTTCAGAAATCTATGAATCAGAAGGGCTTCTGCCTATTTTCTGTTTAGGTTAATGGTCTACTTCTGGCGGTCCTGGGGGAAATGAGATTATTTTCAGCTCCTCTTTTCAAGTCCCTAGGGAAATTTTAGAGTAATATTTTAACTTGGTTGTTTCTCTGGCATAGAGTACCACTAGGTCTATGTGTGTTCATGCCTGCCCCTGTTTTCTAATTTTCTGAAGTCTCAGTTACTATTGGGTTTTAGGACTTCAGGATGCTTCAGGATGTTTCCTTTCTTTTGAAACAGGGTCTGACTATATAGTGTGGCATTGTGACTGGCTTTGAACTCACAGAGATCTGCCCCCTGATTGCTGGAACTAAAGGTCTGCACCTTGTTGGTTTTTTTTTTTTTTTTTTTTTTTGGTTTTGTTTTGTTTTGTTTTGTTTTGTTTTTGAGACAGGGTCTCCCAGTTGCTCCAGCTGTCCTGGAACTCACTATGAAGACCAGGCTGGCCTTGAACTCACAGAGATCCACTGGTTTCTGTCTCCCAAGTGCTAGGATTAAAGATGTGTGCCACCACACCTGGCAGCCTCATTTGCTCTTAAAATTTATATCTACTCTTTCAGACAGCATTTTTAAAAGCTGAGGACATTACTCCAAAAGAGCTTCTCCAGTGGGTGGCTTTTGTTTGCAATACCTTAATAAATATCGTGCTTTTCCTTTTCTAAAAGTGTTCCCCTGGATTGTGGCAGTCGACTGCCATTAGTTATCTGGGCTTGTGTTCTAATTCCCCTTAAGTTCTGTGCCTAACAGCACTCATCTCCCTATTGTCTCCTGTTTAAAATGATGTGGCCTTGAGCTTTATTCTCTCCTGCTAGGACCACTGGTTTGAAAACAAAGAGGCTGAGTTCTTTTTTTTTCTTGATTGAGACAGGGCCTCCTTGTAGTCACAGCTGGCCTGTATTCACTATGGAGACCAGGCTGGCTTCACAGAGATCCAGTCCGCCTGTCTCTACCTCCCAAGTGCTAGGATTAAAGGCGAGTGCCACCATGCCCTGCTGAGGCTGAGTTCTAATCCTGGCTTTTCCAGTGACTAGCATGATACCCTTTGACAAGTGGCTGCTTCTTACACTCTTCCATATAAAATAGTCATTGATGGATATTGCTTTGAAATTTGGAAATAAGATGTTAAAACTCCCTGTATTTGTTCATGTCCAAATTTTTTATATTTGTGTACAAATCTCAAAAGCAAATTACTTATCTTAAAAATATTTTATTATTTATGTGTATGTGTGTATTGCCTGCATGTAGATAAGTGCACCTGTGTCATGCAATGCCCGTGGAGGTCAGAAGAGGCTGTTGAATCCCTGTTGGATCCCCTGGAACTGGAGTTACAGACAGTTGTTAGCTGCCATGTGGGTGCTGGGATTCAAACCTGGGTCTTCTGCAAGAACAGTCAGTGTTCTTAACCACTGAGCCATCTCTCCAGCCCCGTGAATTACTTATTTTAAATAGAACTCAGTATATATTTGTGTTATTCCCCTTTGTCTCCTTCATAATCTCACAGATACTAGCCTGAATGTCCTTTCCCAGGGTCTGTTCCCCATCTATGATTCTATAGTTTCAATCTTTGATTCCCAAAATATTGATTTCCATACCATTGCTTCCAGGAAAGTTCATTTCTGTGTTTTTAGCATAGATTACATTCTCTTTTATATCTTATTTGCCACGACAGTTCAAGAAAATATCTAGGTTCCATTTAGCTATTTTACATACTTGATTAGAGAGACTGTCTTGCAGAAATTAGAGCTTTCATGATCAGAAACATGTCAGTCTTAGAAATCTCAATGGATATTTAGATTATGACATCTTGCCCTTAAGCTAATAGTAGCATATTCTTAACTGGTAGTTAAATGTCAAGTAGAGCAAGGGCTGAGGCTGTAGCTCAGTGGTAGAGCATTTGTCTAGTATGCGGAAGTCCTGTGTTTCATCTCCAGCACTGGGGAAAAGAAGGAAAAGCAAAGTAAGGAAAGAAGAGAAAAAAAGGAGACAAAGATTATTTTTGAGCTAGCTGTAGTAGTGCATGCCCATAATTCCAGTATTCAGAAGGCTAAGGCAGGAGGATTGCAAGGTACAGGCTAACCTGGGCTACATGGCAAGAATCTGTCTTAAAAAAATAAAGTGATTTTGAATCTTTTGAGAGCAAAACTGCAGTAGGAAATTGGAAACTTTTGTTTCATCCAAGCCTTCAAAAACACAATTTATTGCACAGCCACTATGTGATACGTTCTCTTTATGGTACTGGAAAAGCAAGCAAAACAGACTTTAAAAGCCTTGTCTTGGGGGGCTAAGGTTGTGGCTTAGTAGTATAACTCTTACTTAGCATGCACAAAGCCCTGGTTTTGACTCACAGCACTACACAAAACTGGGCATTGTGATGTAGGTGTATAATCACAGCACTTGAGCAGGAGGAGCAAGAATTCGAAGCCATGCTAGGCTATATATCTTAAGCTCCAGGCTAGTCTGGGCTACATGAGACCCTGTCTCAACACAAATTTATTTAAGCCCTATTTAGTATTAAAATTCATAAAATCCCCCCCCCAAAAAAAAACCCTAAAGTCAGCAAAGCATAGGAAATGTTTTTGTGTTCAAATTGCACAAATCTCCCTATATGTTCTCACAAAGTCTCTGGGTTCTTAAGAATCACTATAAACAAATTAGAAAACATCAAGTTGAAAAAGGTCAGTTATATACAAAACAAAATGAAATCTCTGTGAGATTGAGGCCAGCCTGGTCTCCATAATGAGTTCCAGGCTACCAGGGTCTACAAGAAGACCCTGCCTCAAAAAAACAAACCAAAAACACCCAAAATGAAGCACAATGGAATTTTCATTCTTTATCACTGTGTTTCTGCTGTTGTTAAAGCAGCCACTTTCTGTATTTTACAAAGAAGGCTGTGAGCTCTGTAACTGATTTTTAAGTGATAAACACAGATCTCCTTACCTCAGCCAATCTCCATAGTTGCTCAGACTGTTTTCTATAATGAACAAGAAAGAGTGTTTTACAGCGGTATAGCTTAACATAAAAAGTTGCAATTTTGTTTTCACTATATTAATCAATTTGGGGTAGGGGAAACATGATTTAATTGTAGAACACTTGCCTAACATCTGCAAGGTCCTAGGTTTAATTCCTAGTAAAACAAATATTCAGACCAGTGAATTAGTCACCCCTAGCATATTTTTATTGATTATAAAATCAGTTTATTTTTCTTTGTTGGACAGAATATATTCTTTGGTTTTCCTCCTAGGAAGTGGTGCTCTGAAAACCTCTTAAAGCACAGAATTTATTGTGCCCTTTATATTTTTTAACCAAGTTGAAATGTTTCACAATTTTGGAAGCAAGGTGCAATCTGATTGCATTTGAGATGTCTGGGTTTGGGGTTTTGTTTTGTTTCACTTCCATTTGTGGTTCTTCATTATGCAATAGAATTCCCTGAATCATGGTAATTGTACTGAGTTATTGTAAAAGGAATAGTGAAAAATCAGACTTCTGTGTGAGTTACAGAGCTTTTCCTAGCATTCTCCTCCAGGTTTTCTCTGTGTGTCTGTGTCTGAGAAGTGGTTTCAACCCAGTGGGAAAGTCTGGTACTTAGTTATTCATGGAGACGTATAATCAGCTTGATAGCCACAGAATGTTCTGGACTGGAGATACAAGGGGCCACATTCTGCA